GGAAGTGTGAGTCTTCGCTTCAGCATGTCGACCCTGGGTGGCAGCCCGAACCAACCCGGGGTCGTGAACATGACCGGCGTTAACGCGTCAACTCTACTCCACCATTTTTTTTTTCCTCCCACGTGCCAACGGGCACACGCGGTGCGAATTTTTTCCCGTCAAAACCCTCAACCGTTACTTGATGTTGGCGTCAATCCTCAAAGGTCAAAATTCCGCGTCAATCCATAGTGGATACCCTATATTTAGCAGATGGCGTTTCTTGTTGTCTGAGACTGCCCCATTTTCCGCCCGCCGCTCATATACACACACCACTTCAAAATATCCGAGGCATGGGTTGCTGTTCAGCTGCCTCAGATTCTCAGCGGAAACAGACTAGTACAGAGTAAGAGAGAACGCAGCGTACAGTCTCGTTCGAGAGTCATGTCGTCACCACTTGACCGGGCACTTACTGGACAGACCCGCTCCTCCGATGTGGGTGTGTCTACATGTAAAATATCAGAACAGGGCTCGTTATGGAACCGACGAGGACGGGTGGGATGAGACAAGGTTCACCAGCCATCAGAATAGAGCACATCTTCTGGCCTACAACCAATTCAGGAGAACACCCAGACCAGCACCTGCAGGTCGTTCGAACCACTGGGAGCTGGCCCAAAAAATGCCTTGTGTTACCCTCTATCGGCGCCACCTCCTCTAGACAGCTATTGTTTCGGTTTGGAATGCTGCTTTGAAAAATTGCTGCGTGCGGCGATTCTGCTACTGTAGGTTGAAGCTGCTGCTGCCGTTGCCGCTGCCGCTGCCGCTGCCGCCGCTGCTGCTGCCGCTGTGCTACAGCTAGCTGCAGCTGAATCCCCGTCTCTCTCGCTCGATTGAAACAAGAAGTTTGGAGCGGCTGAGAGTGTGGTTGCAAGAAGCCTTTCGGGTTTCCCTTATATTAGATGAAAACTCCACCGCTCGATATTCGTGCACCATCGACATAAATACGTACTACTGTAGTCCACATATGTCGATAGCCCAGTAGAGCCTAATTTCGTTCTTGTGTAGACAAGGGCAGGTAGCCGCATGGGAACAGCGCGCGCGAGTCTTTCGGAAAATCAGCGGGGGGCAGTTGCCACATCATGCCCAAAACAAATCCGAGCCGCGTTCGGAACTTGTAGATGCCTAGCATACGTGTTTCGGAGACAGAATGTGGGCAATTTTGCAATTTTGTGCTTTTGTGTCGGCGAAACGAAACGTTGTTCCGAAATCACTCTCCGATGTGATGCATTGCGTGCAGCTTACGCGTTGGCAGAGATGCAAAAAGCAAGTGACTACATTGTAGACTCAAGTCTATCCCACGGGAGCGGCAGATATGCTCTTTGTGCTGAGAGTGCGTCGCTTACATACTGCTGTTGTTCCAGTTCAGTGTCCATTCATACGCACGCACCTTGCCCACATTCGAGAGACTCCGAAGAGTCCCAAGCCCGTGTAGATAATCGCCCCAACACAGGCGGCCGCCACCTCCACCAGTATCATGTGTGCGCAGCAGCGCCCCTTTTAGATGAAACCTCACCACGCTCCTTGACTTTTATGACTTGCAGCTGCTCTCCTCTCACTGTTGGTCGTTACTGCTGTACCACCGTAGTCGTCACCGCCCCCGTCGGCCCCTTGTTCGCGGCGTGTTCAAGTATGCATGCGAATGTGTTCCTCCTCCGCTGAAGCACGTGGTCACCGAAAGTTCCCGCCGTTTGTATTTCATGGCACCTGCATGCCACGTTTCTTGGCGTTCGTTTTGAAGGGTGCAATCCCATTTGCCAGCCGGGCGCCCGTCGCTTCTCTTCGCCGCTCGTCGCGACCACGATGTGCAATGTCGGAATGTCGGCGATAATAAATAATTGTCCCGCGATACAAGTACGTGAAACGGCACACATGCCCCCTATCACTCTTCCACCCCCCCCTTCATCTTTTGGGTGTTGTCCGCGGGACCCCCCGTCAGCTGTCGTCCTGACAGGGAGGAGAAAGAGGCAGAAACAAGATAGCCAGCTGGGAGCCAGGCACGGACACGAGCAATAAGCGGGAGGTGAGGGCTTGGGAGTGGGGCTTAAGGCGGGGACCGTCGATGTGATGCCAAGCGAGGGCCCTATTCGACTACCGTCCTGTGCTCTAATAACACCCCGACATATATATGGAATCCAAAGAGGGGTCTAAAACAGTGTGTGCTCTGTGTTGAGCTTGAGGGAGCCTCTTTGTACAGTAGGTTGACGTTTTGTCGCCGACGGCATTTAGAGACAGAGATGGAAGGAAATCTTGGACAGAGGCAGTAAGATTTGTGCTGTGTGCGAGCTCTCGGGCTTTCGGCGGTGCGTTTTGCGCCAATGTACCACCAGGCATTGGTGCGCCCCAAAAGTGTCTCTCGCCGTCGTCGGGTCGTACATGTTCGAATCCTCGGCCCTGCTGCGCGCGCTCAAATGTAGTTTACCCCGGTGCTACTTTGTACTCGGTACAATTTTCCCGCCCCCAAGTTAAAACCTACTTGAGCTGTGCACACCTCTGTCCACAAAGCCAGCAAGAGGGTGGCGTGCCTGGCCATGGGTGCGAGGCTTGGATTTGACACGTCGTTCTCGGTTGGGACATGAACATACGGTGCCGTCGTTGCAACCGACAGCAGCAGCAGGCGGCAGGCAGCAGCGGTCACAGATTATCGACACTCTTTTCAAAATTATTAGCAAGATTCCCACAAAAATGGGACGGCGGCGTATTGCACAACCAAACCTGCTGGAACATGTATTCCCCGTTATTACACACTTTCACATTTAGGTCTGTACCTAGCTGCTCTAGTACTTGGCGCAGCTTTAGTGTACTATCCACCATGTGGGAAGGAACTGATTCCCGTTCCACGGCAATAACAACGGATTTTGGCCTCGGCGGCGGCTTCGACGTGCATGGCGTGCCTATGACTCTGCGCATGTGTACCATGTATGGTACGCAGCTTTTAATAGTATCGCTGCTGCTCGATGCCTGTCTCAGGCAGCTCCGCAAAGCCATCCCCCAACCTCAGAACCTTTGCTTCCGGCGCGGCGTTGCCAAGCAAAAATTACGGCTTACACAGGAACAGTACCGTCTCCGTCTCCTTAGTTTTGCGTTCGGCCAGAATTGTGGCATGTTTAAGGATGCAGGCAACGGCATGCACGACGTGTACATCAATTTGGATGAGATTCAGGGCTTATCTATCCCAGAGAAAATGTTTGTTGTGTTTATGATTTGCATTTTTTATACTACTGGAACGTGGTAACCTCGGTGACTTGCAACTTCTGGTTCATACGACATACACACATTGTTCTTCCACGTAAAAAATAAATAATAACCTCGAAGCGGTTGGATGGTCGAAGCCCGTGGGTTGAGTTCCCGCTGCTCTTTCACGACGCGCTTTAGGCACACGTTGCGGTATATGGACGTCACCCGCAGAGGCACTCCACGCGATGTTTTCCGTTGGGCTCCCTATCCGTAGCTCCTCAGTTTGCAAAAACCTACCTTCGATATTCCCACCGCGAGCGACAAATAGTCGCCATGGTTTGTAAGAGTTGGACAAGGAAAGCGAGGTTTAAGACCGTCCGTACCGGGTAAAGACGCATGGTGATGAAATTACAAGACAACGAACAGTTTTTCTTCTGTTGTTTACGCTCCCAGCGGGATACCCAACACCGAAACCGCCCGGGTAGGTGGCTTCAGATTGACCAGGCCCGCTCCATCCGTTTCGCTGACGGTTAGTAAGCACGGATTGCTGTATAATTGAAGTAGCAAATATTTGTGCGAAGCCAAGTGAAGTTGCGTTCTCACACTCTCTCCCTCGTTTGCTACGCTCTCTTCGCCGGAAGGGATGCCGTCTACAAATCAACCCCCCTGTTTATTTATCTCCTTTCTTGCCCCGAGGCACGCCGCTACCATCACCCCCATTGGCTCCCGATACCTGGCCGAGCACTGCCTCATGTGTTCCCTCCCAAAATGTTTTTTCCCACCCATACCCACCCGGTTTTGTTTTCCGTTCTCCTGTTAGGCATGGCCTCCAACGGGAGCGCCACAGCAGCCCCGACAACAGCCGCGAGAGCAGTAGCGGTGCCAACAGTAGTACCTGCAGTGACAGCAGCGGCGGTACCGGCAGGAGCACCACCATCTCGAGCACCGCCACCGACAGCGGCAGCGGCAGCGGTAGCGGCCACGACACCCGCGATGGCACCCGCACCGCCACCAGCAGCACCTGGTAGCAGCAGCAGCAGCAGCAGCAGCAGCAGCAGCAGCAGCAGCAGCAGCACGTCGGTGGTCATGGCATCTTCTACCAATACCGCCGCCGCCGCCCCCACCAACTCCTCTGCCCCTTCCATCGCGAGAGCAGCAGTAGCAGCGTCGGCAACAAAGGCGGCCCAACCAACAGTAGCAGCAGCAGCAGCAACGGCACGACCAGTGTCAGCCGCTGTTCCTGCCTGCGGTACAATCTCCGGGGTAGCTGATGCCGCAAGGCTGCAACCGGCACTGGCAGCAGCAACAGCGGCGGCGGCGACGGCGGTGGCGGTGGCGGTGGCAGCGCGGGTTCCGCCAGAGGCAACTGGCGCTGCCGCTGCCGCGGCGCCAAGCCCTGGAGCGGGGCTAGTGGTCACGGCAGCAGCAGCGGGGGCGCCGGTGGTGACGGGAGGTGAGTCTTTCCCCTAGCTGGCGCTGCTGTTGTCCCTGAAGAGCCTTCATTTGAAACCGGGCCGCCGACCACGACCATGTGTTTTTGGCGTCAAACGTTCGAGGGCGTGAGGAGGGGTCGTGAGCAGATATCCATGGACTATTCTCCTCGAAAATGTTTTTTGATCGAAACCAGCGTTTCTCGGGGGCATTTTCACGACATTTACAATCTCGAATAGCAACAGCACCCCAAGCTAGCGACCTTTCCGTTCCCACAGGTGCTCACCTGGCATCAGTCAGGTGGTCAGGCAAAGCCGACGAACGGCACTAGCGACGCACGGTATGAGCCATAACACACCATGCAGCCTGGCGATACCTACGTCGTGAGGAACACTTTCCTGACGTGTTCGTCAAGCATTTCCATTTTGAATAATAAAACTCTTGCACACCGACCGTTTCGCGGCAGGGATTTCCCCCAGAGTTACGCCGGGAGTGGCGGTGGCGACGGTGGCGGGAGGGGGGGGGGGGAGAGAGACGTGCAGGAGCACTAGCGGTACGATTGCGATCGAGGCGGCTGGCAGAGCGGCTGCGGTTGCTGATGGGGTGATTGCGAGGCCAGGTCAGCGCACGGTTTTGCTTGGGAGTCTTGGCATGTTAGGTGTTGGTGGCGCTCGCTGTTGAGGGCGGCTGGGGTTGCAGGCTGTTTGCTGTTGTTTGCTGTTGGTGTCGAGGGTTGGTCTGGTGATGCCGGTCGTGTTGCTAGGGCTGCTGCTGCTGCTGTTGTTGCAGCTGCGGCGTCTGCTGTCGTTGATGCTCTAGTTGTTGATATTTAGGTTGGTGTGGGTGTTATCATTGTTGCCTGGGTGTGGTAATGACAGCTGTTGTGGTATCGTTTTTGTTGTTGTTGTGGGCTGTGGTACCGTGAAGACCCTACGTGAACTTCTGGAATTTTGCTTCGGATCTTTCGGTTCAAGAGAGTGATCCAGCCGTCCAGAGTAGACGGGAAAAGGGCAAACCAAAGGTTGCTCGAGATGGTATCTCGGTTCTGGTTTCCAATCTTTCTATCCGAAGAGAGCGATGTAGCCTTCCAGAGTAGACGAGGAAAGGCAGAACAACGCGTGCTGAATGGAAACAAACAGAGGTCGTTCTCCCAGATGGTTCGGCCGTCTTGTCACATTCTCAGGGATGGCTGTCCTCGCCGCCTGTGGCGCTAGGGCGAGACTTTTGTATCAATGCTGCCCCCCCCCCCCCCCCAGTTTTGGTATTTTGCTGATTGGAAGGCCTTCCCCGAGCACAACGATGCGAAAGTGTACCTGGGACGTCTGATGAGTATTTCGCTTGCTTGGGTGGCGCTGAACCATGCCGTAGGGGAGCATAAGGTGCCGGAAATGGCTGTGTTGGGAACACGTATAACTTGACGTATGCATCCTCTTCATCTTGGAGTACCGTACCGTACCGTAGATACCACACACCCCGGGCCGAATTTCAAACCTCTGTTGTTCCACGACGAAGACGATGCCGAAATCAAAATAATGATTTTCGGAAACTTTCGACGAGGCAGTTCCAATGCCGCCACCATTTCCGCCATCGCCACTTCTTCTGCTGTGGAGCAGTGGAGCTTTGGAAATCGGTCCAGGGTGTGTGACATACTATTCGTCCTATAATCGATCGGCCCAGGGGGTGTGGTATATTCCGCAACCTTGAGTATGACAGGGCTGTGAAGACCAACACGTCAGCTGGCATCGTCATGTCCTTCGCACTGCGTAAGGTGTTCGTCGTACACGCGGAGACCTGTTTTTTTCCGGTGGCATTTTGTGTTGTGTTTTGGAGTACCGCTGAACTTCTCACACACATTTTTTTTTTTTTTTCCACGCCCCCCTGAACTATGTTGCGGTACAGCAGTCTCTCAACAACAACCGCAGCTGCAGCGCGCAGCCACCAAGGCCCCCGTGCCGGTAGCGGCGGCTCCGACCCCGGCCCAGGCCGCCGCCTACGCGAAAGCGGTGGCGACGGCGCAGCAGCAACAGCGGGCCCACGCCGCCGCGACGGCGGCGGCGGCGGCGGCGAGGGTAGCGAGATCGAACGCGATCGCCACTTCGTACACAAGCAACGCCGCCGCCGCCGCAGCAGCAGCAGCAGCGGCGGCAGCCGCGGCCGCCCCCTCGGCTGCCGGTGCGTCGCCGGCGACGCATCGGCAACAGCAGCACCCCGGTGTCGTCGTCGCCGCCCGGCCCACCGTGGTGGCCCCGGGCCACAGCAACGGCCACATCTACAACGCGGCCCAGCGGCAGCAGCAGCAGCAGCACGCGGCCGCTTTTGGGGCGATGGGGGCAGCGGCGGCGGCGGCGGCGGCGGGGGGTCACCATCACCACCATCACTTGCAGCAGTTTCAGCAGGGCGGGGGCAGTGGGTTCCTGGGGCTGCAGGGGGGCGCTAGCGCGATGGGGGCGGCGGCGGCAGCGGCGGCAGCGGCAGCGGCGGCGGCGGCGGCGGTGCAGGCGAAAGCGAAGAAGCCGAACGGGTTGAGGAGAGGGAAGTGGACGTCCGAGGTACGATAGTGTTGTTTGTGCTGCAGTGGACGTGTGGGCTTGTGTTTCCCCCTCGTTTGTACCGACCACGCTATCCATCTGATTGACCGACGAGAGAGAGTATGTCAGTGTGTGTTAACGGGGGGCTGAGGTATTCATGTGTGCGTGTCTTGAGTTGGGATCGATGGCGGCCGTGTGCCCGGCTGACCAACGATGATGCGTCAGTCTTAAAATCGGGACGTGGGAAGGTGAATGCAGGCCCGTCTTCTAGATTTTCGCTGGCTCGATTTAGGCGGGAGGTGTCAGAAGTTTTCGCAGTCGGCAGCGAGCGAGGGCTGGCTTGAGTGCACGACCGGAGCTACCGGTACAAGTGCAGTACATGTTGCAATCGCGGGGGCACGCTTTGCCGGTTGTGGCAATCTACTTGGGCGTGACACTCCAAACGTGCATGGACGTGTGGATATATTTTAGCAACAATGCGGTTGTGAATGTGTTGCCGTTGGATGTTGCTGCTGCTGCTGCTGCTGCTGCTGCTGCTGGCGCGACCCTCCTGTAGGAGGAGGACTACGCGAACCGCCTTATCCAGGAGTTCAAGAGCGGGTTGTTGCCGCTGACGGACGGAACGACGCTCAGAACGTTCCTGAGCAAGCTGCTCAACTGCGACCCCATGCGCATCTCCAAGAAGTTCGTGGGTAGCAACTGCATCGGGAAGCAGGTAACCTTTCCGCTTTGTTTTTTTGTGTTTTGTTATTTCTTTTCGTTTTCGTTGGTTTCCGCGTTGCTGCTGTGTGTTGGTGTGTTGGCCCAATCTTGTCAGTTTTGTTTCGGGCGTTGTTCTATTCTTTGGGTGCCAGTTTTTTAGAAGATTGACACATCATCAACGACAAACTACCCGTTTGAGATAATACTCTCCGCTGCCGAAGGGGGTGAGTTGATTTGTTGGTGTTGGTGTTGGTCCGTCTGTTCGGTGTCGTTTCTAACAGCTTCGCCTCTGTTGGGTTACATCCGCCGTTGCTTGGCCAGGTGTTCCGCAGGAGGCAGGCCGACATGGACCGGTTACAGCCCGCCGACATCGAGAGGAGCCGCTCTCAGCTTGCAGATCTAGAGAGGAGGTTCTTGGAGCGGGTAGCCATGACGAACCGATGCAAGACCGGCGGGGAGATAGGTGACGTGTCGCAAAGAGTAGTTGCATCACCCTCACCGCACACGTTTGTGCTGTACGCATGTGGCCCCTCCGGCCCCGCGCGCTTTCATGATCCCGCTATAATAGCTGCAGGACACGAGTCCCAACTGCTGGTGGTTTAGTGTTTTATGGTATACAGCTGTTGCCGCAATTACAACCTGCGAAGCAGCGCACGCTGCAACAGGGGAGTTCCCAGTTTCGCGTCCCCCTACTTGTGGCTTTCAATGTTTTTCCGTCGGACATGCTTCCCCTGTACCCTGTCGCTCGATCTCTAAACCTTCGCCACCCGCCCCGGGGGCCTGTTCTTTTTTTTTTGTGCAGGCTCGAAAGAAGGCGGCAGCAGCTTCGACCTCCTGCGCCCGAATCAGGTGATTTGGTCGTGTTGTCATTGTCCTGTGTTTCTCTGTGTTTCTCGTTGTTTCCGTAAATGGTCTGCAAAAGTAGGCTACTTGAGCGTCGTAAACGTCTGGTGGAACATGGGAAATTGTAAATGTACGGTCGCCCGGATTTTTTTTTTTTTTTCTTCGAGCTTTTCTCGAGGTTCCTTGGCGGCCCACGGCTCAGGTTCCTCGGGGTTGCCCAGGCAGGATGCGGCAGTGGATATACCCGGTCTAGTTTTACAACCAAGGTCTCCTGGTGAGGATGGGAGTGAGGCTGCCTGTGTGTGCTGGGTTCATCTCACCGACCGGCCGCCCGTGGATGCGCCCCGTTATCCACCCCCCGCCGGTGGTGGCATTCATTTGGTGTGGAACACCCCTCCGACAACTACATGCCGACAGGCATTGCCCTACCTGATAGCAAAGATCTGCAACAACGAACGCTCGTGTTTGTTGTCGTGGAATCCATGAAAACTTCATCAAACTCCCCGGATGTTCGACGCCTGACACGTCGTCCAAGCAAGTATACAGCACCAGCAATCTCCAGTCTATTGCACACGACACCGAATCGTTGTATGCCTCTCCTCGTTGCCTTCTGACGTTGCTGCGTCCCAGCCACCTCCGGCTACCCAGCCGTGGATGCTGCCGCCGTCGCCCCCTGCGGTTACTCTCGCGGGGACGCTGTCGCCCGCGGCGGCGACGCAGAGGGCGAACGTGGCGGGGGCTCCTGCAGATGAAGCCACAGGTGCGGGGGTTTTCGCTGCTTTGACCGTGTACCTGCTCTGCTTTTTTTGCCTCCTTGGTATCAGGCGAAGCCGCAGCAGCAGGGGTACGGCTCTCTCTCCCTCTTGGTTGAGTTGCTTCCTACTACCGTCCGTTCCTGGCGTTTTTCGCGACGGCGGTGGCTGGGTTTAGTTTTTTCCGTGGGGTGTTGCGGGGTTGTTTTGGATGGACGGCAGCGTTAGCGACTAGGTGGTGGTGGTGGTAGATGTGGATGAAGAAATTGCTGCTGTCGATGGAACGATGCTACTCTCAACCACCAGTACAAATGTCAAGTTTTGCCGTCGTCGACGATGGTGTGCCTGTGTTGTTTTTTTGCCGGATTCTGTGTTGTTTTTTTGCCGACTTGCGAACCGCAGTCGAGACACCCCAAGAAGACACAATGGCATGCCGAACGCTTGGGACAATGGGACTGCTGGTGCAGAGGACGGAAAATCGTGCGCAGCATCGGAGAATTACCTGCCCTTGACTCTTATATCTAAACGAAACAGATACCGGCGAGCTGCGTTAACTTGGAACATGTTCTTACCGGTCGGTCTGCCCATGGCGATCCTCGCGCTGTTGCCGGAAGCCACCAAGCACTTGATCCACAACTCGCACCACACCGCTGTTTTTTTTTTTCCAAAATGAGACACGAAACTCATCACGCAACACGTCATCCGAAAAGTACAACACCACCTCCCTTCACTTTTTTGTCATCGCCACGGACGTTGCTGGGCTGTTTGTAGGGGGCGTGCTCGCTGAGACAACAGCGGTAGCAGCGGAGGCGGCAGGGCACCAGCGAAATAGCACCACACCGCCACCTCGACCACCATCATCGGCAGCAGCAACAGCACCAGGGTCGGCGGAGGTAGCGCCATCGCCGTCATCAGCAGCGTTGCCGTCTAGTTCCGTTTTGGGCGCGAGCCATGCCGGGCCAGGGGGAGTCGCGAAAGCACCGAACGGGCTGGTGCTTGGTGGCCCACCCGAAAAGGTTCGTATTCTATGTGCTGCTTTTTTTCTTGGGAGAGTTACTGAACAGGAGCGGTTTCTGATTTGAAGACAGTAACAAGGTTGTTGATGATTAGGTTTGGTGTCGTCGGTTGTTGTTGTTGTTGTTGTTGTAGCGGTAGCATAGATCGTAACGCCAAGCCGCGAAGCAGTGGGGGGGCTCGGCATCTTATTCAGGTGGCTCGTAGGCATACCCTGCAAGCCCTTCTCGATTGAATTTCGAGCCATTCGGTCCACAGTGTTGCACCTGAAACGTCAAGCTGCTGTAACGTGTCGTTGTTACGCTTTCACAAGGCGCACAAGACCATGTAGTGGCAAGAGAAGGACATGCCACTAATCTGGGCAATGCCACTATTCGATATAGTGGCAATAATGCCACTACAGTAGTGGTGGTACGGAAAGCCATCGTTGAACGTTTTATGGTCGACGTGCTTACCGTGTTCGTGTTTTTTTATTCGTGTCCGATACCGCACTCCACGCCGCTCTATACAATACAACGCAGGAGTCTCAACACAGGCCCCTCACGTCGCAGCAGCAACCGAATGCTCAAGGTACGAGCACCACTGCTCTGGCCCCTGCCCCGGCTACCCCAGCTGAGATAAACGATGTTGGGGTCAAGGCGGGGTCGGCCGCGGGTATCGCTAACGGCAACCACCTGGCAGCAACAACGTCAGCGGCGTCAGCAGTGGCAGCAACACCGCCTGCTTCGTCAGGGTCCGGTGTATCGGCTGCTGCGACAAGGGCTAATGGTGTGTGTCGGTGGAGATGCGTGTTGCACTTTCGTGCAGGGCGGCGGCGCTACCTTGTAGCTGCGTCCCGGTCCTCGACCTCGGTTTGCTGCTGCTGGTCGCGGTTGTTAAAAGAGTGCTGAAATGTCACGGCGTCGTGTGTGCCTCAGGAGAGGCTGGGTACCGTCGCCATTGGCTGCGTTGCTGCGACACCGCGCGCTCCTCCGTTCGATACACAGGGGAAAATTGCTGCAACAGTCTGCTACGAACGCGGTTTGACGTAGTATCTGCCAACACTGCTTCTGATTCTAGTGATGGTGATCTGCAACAACATGGCGAGCGTTGGAACCGAAATTGTTCGCTCGAAAATGTAGGCTCCTATGCATATGCTGAGGTCGACCGTTTCGACACACTCGTAACCCACCAGGTGCGCCTGCATCGACCAGTGCGGCTGCGGCCACGCCGGCGTCGTTCCTAGACGCGGGAGGCGCGCTGCCGTCGTTGCCCGGGACTGGGGACGGGAGGGTAGCTTCCGCGATCCCCGGAAGTACCGCTGCAGTTGTTCCCAAGCAGGTGCGTGCTTGTGGTCGACTATGTTGTGGTCTGGTGTCCGCCGTCAAATGCGGTCGGCCGGCCGTCGTTGATGAGATGAGCAAGACTCACTTGCCGCCTGTACCCTTTGTTGCGGCGCAGGAACTCACGGCCAGTGGGACAGGCTTGGGTGTCCGCACATCGAGGTCGGGGGCAAGCAACGGCTTCAACACCAGCTCCGGCCTGGGTGGAAGCGGTAGGTCTTGGTGTTGGGAGTGTGATACAATAGCGCGGTCGATGTCACTTGCCTGATGCGCCTGCAAATATTCCCTTGTAAATGTATCTGGGTTGGCACAGCAAGCGCTAAGGATGATAACTCGCTTCTGGTTCATTTTGAAACGTCGCCTGGGCCGGCGAAAACCGGGCATGTCGCTTCGTCGCTTCGTCTCGGCATTTTGGGGATGTGAGGTCAATAGCCCAACGACTAGGCTTCGTTTACGTGAGTAGCCACCCCCTTCCTTTTCCTCCTCCACGGGGGTACCGTGTTGCTGTTTGTTTTCGTTGTGTGCAAACACCACGTCCTGCCTCGTGAATCGGCACATGTTGCCCTTAATGCCATGCGAAGTTCTCCCAACCTCATCCTCTGTCGTGCGTGTACCTTCAAGCTTGTGATGGGCAACACGGAACGTGGAGAGGGTGCTGTCGTGTGGACGGCAAAAATGTGGTTCTCGATTTGAGAGCATGGACAGCTTACACGCTTTACGCTGTGCGCTTACTCTTAACAGACCACGCTCTTGGGTGTTTGGTCTTCTCTGGGTGAACTGTTGGTTTTCTGTTTTGTCTTTTCGATGCTTGCTCTTCCTCCCTCGTTGCGTTGCTCAACTGCTCTTCTCTCTACTCAACATATCTGGTTTAAGTATCGTTTTTTTTTTTTTTTTTTACATAACAAATCCAGGCATCGACCGGACCACATCTCTCGAGGCCCTCTCGCTGCTGGAGCTGCCACACATCCAAGGTATGACCAACCTTGCTGTGCTGGGGCTGTGGCCTGGCGCCTTTCCCCCTTCGGGATCTTCGACAGGGACAACGACTGGGACTCCTCTCAAGGTGTGTTTGCGTGCCCGGTATGTATCGGTGTTCTTTTTTTTTGTGAGGTTGTTTTGCGTTGCCGAGGGTGCAAAATGGGCTTGGATCAAACTTTCCGGCGAAATGTGTTGTTTTTTGCGCTTTTTTTTTGTTTTCCTTCGTCCTTCGACGAGTTTTCTTGTGCCCTGGCCAGTCTAATCGTCCCTCTCATTTCGGCTACCCGGGCAAGGAGCCTTGGCCCAACACTTAGGTCTTGGACTCGCGTTCTATACCACAATAAACCGTGGATAAAGTTTTGTTTTGTGTTTCTTCGGCACTCAAGGTGGTGCTTCCCCGTTTTTTGTGCCGGATATGGGGGTGAAGTTTCACCAACTAGAAGAATCGACGACAGGCTTGTCGAGCGCGGTGCACCCACTGCCTTCCCAAGCGCGCGCTTTACGCGCGCTTGCATTCAGGAGAAAAAGACACCCGGAGTACAAACCAGAACATGTCTTTCTTCTGTTTTTTCACGGCGCACCTTGTTTTTCGTTTCAAAGAAAAATCCGTGCCGGGGGCGTGTGTGGGTTGTGGGTTGGGTTCGGGTTGATTCGGTTGGCCAGGCGATGAACGGCGGTTTGAAGAGAACGCCTTCATGGGCGAGGATCAGCTCGTACGAACACCTGCAGGTGACTCACGGGCAAGCGCGCGCGCGCGCGCGAGCGACTAACGCGGCGCCATTTGACGAATGAAAAACGCGTGTGAAAGGAATCAGCTCGGTTGTGCGGCGGGTGTATATTGGCCATGGCTGTCATTTCACGATGGTGCGACCTATGGATTCAGTTGTGCAGTGACTCTTGCGCCCGTCATGACCGCTTTGGACGGGCTAATTGTAGGGGTGTAGCAGTCGTCTCCACGCTAAAGTGAAGAGGGGACATGGCCTCGATGGCTCGCGCGATCGGATTCCGTGTTAAGTTCCCGGACGTGGATGTGAAACTGGAATTTTCCGTATAGGATCCCTGTTGTGTGTTTGGTTTGTACAGGGTACAATCCTGCTAGAAAGAGTACTACGGTGCTAGCAGCGTCGGCGAAGTCGACGAAACGGTAGTGAGCAGCAGCCTCCTTGTTGTCCGAACGCCTGCTGGGGGCCGAGGTGAGCTGGTGCTCAAAAACATATATCCCCGCCTGGCCGTGAAAACTTTCGTCATGTACAACATTGTTGTGAACAGTCACCAGTAGTGGAGAATGTGTTGTGTGCGTACCGAAGGGAAACCCAACCATGGAAGAGTACAAACAAAGTAGGGAACGAACAGCATGAACGTCGGACCAGCTTGTGAAGATGTGCCGAGATTATGTAAGCCTCGGTGGAACATGGGCATGTAACCTACGCAAATGTTCCTAGAAATCGCCACGAAAGTGAAGAAACGAGCACATTCACCACCGTGCTGGGCGATAGTCACAACACCCTCAGCCTTGTGTCGATCAAGAAGACGTTCACCTACTCTTTGTGGGTAGAGATGTAGCAGCTTGCTCCTTGAAAGCAAGTCTAAGCTTGCAGCTTGGGGCACGGCAGATGCACGTACACTCTGACGGACGCCTGCTCGGAGTGCCAAGACACGTAGGTGAAGTGTAACAGAGAGCGTAGAGGAATTGCGTGTTCCTCACGCTACATGTTTTGTTGAGTGTGTTGTACTACGTTGCAGCTGAAGTTTTCGACGCACACACACCGCGATGCCTTGCCAAGGAACGAGTAGTGAACGGAGCACTTGCCGTGAATATAATCCCCCCCCACCCACTCTCGTCTTCCCCCTTTCGTTTGTTCGGACAAGCCGCGACCCTTGCATGACCGGGTCACGCTTAAGTTCGCCACTTGTCCGCTGCTGGGATTTTCATGTCTCCTATTCTTTTTTTCCATTGACCCGCTTCCCCAAACCCACCTTCACCCAGAGCCTCGATGAAGGGGCTCCCCTGTATCCGACGACAAACGGCAACGGAGCAGGCAGTGTGAGCAGCAACATCGCGAGCAGTAGCAGCAGCAACAGCCATTCCGCATCTGGACTAGGTAAGTTGGCGACGTCGATTTCGCGCACTTGGTCTTCGTCGGCTGCAGGGGCGTGCTCTTACGATGGTTGCTGCTGCCGTTTTGTTAGGCTTTGTTAGGCTTGTGGTATGAAGTTGTCGCGCGAAGGCGTGTGGCTGGCGGCACCAGAGTATGAGCCTTGTGGAAAGCGGCAGCTCCTAACCTTTTTGTGGTAGACCAGAGCGTGTGAGTTATAGTGCCATGCTATCAAATCTTTTTCGTTCATGCCGTGTTGCCAACAGTTGACCGTTGCACGGAGAGGGAGGGAGAAGAAAAGGAGGAGGAGGAGGAGGTGGTGGGGGTGGTGGCGGCGGCGGTGGTTGTGGTGGTGGTGGGAAGGACGGTCACAAAGAGAGTTGTAGCATCGGTTTCGGTCTCTCTCTCGTTCGTGGTTGCTGGCAAGCTTGACGAGGTTGTCTGCTTCGACGCGGAACAGCGTCATCAAGATGGTCAGGGCCCCACGCCATGTCGTCTGTGGCACGAGAAAGTGCTTTCTAGCCCCATGCCTCTATTCGGCAACGCCTGCGGCTGCAAAATCTTGCCGCCAAGTGCGCCCCAATTTCTATCGCCGTTTCGCCAGCGATGTGATTCGCGCTTCTCCACGTTTCGCGCGTCAACCCTCAACCTCTCCACCGTGCAGGAGGAGGCAATTCTAGCGGTGGCAGCGGCACTAGCACCATGACGTCATCATCATCGCCATCGCCATCCTCAGCCGCCGCACCTTCGCCCTTCATGCCGAGAAACACCTCGGTCGAGGACTTCCTCAGCCTTGTCGAGTCCGGAGACATTCCGCCTCCAGAGGTGAGGGGAAAGTGAAGAGTGCACATTCGGAACGCTCACGGGGGGAAACATCTTTTCTGTGAGTCGAAACGCGAGGCCCGGCTGTTGCTGCGTCCTGTGCACGTGGTCGCTGTTGGCCACTTCCTTGGTATCCGGCTTTCTCGCTTGTACATGGTCCTTTTTTTTTTTTTTGCGGTAGGAGTGGTGGCAGTAGGCGGCTCTCTCCCTGTGTCCGCAGAACCGAGACGGCGCTGGTGGTGCACGCACAGTCCGAACCGTGTCTATTCCTTTGTGTGCCTTTTACCATTTTTGTTTGCTGTTTTGCGGTTGCAGGGTGCCGCCGGGTTCACGGTGCCCATGTGGATCTACAGCGGAGACTCGAGCAACACCACGAACGGCAACCCCAACGGACACGCTCCTAATGGGAGTTCGAATGGTGCTTCAACTCCTGCTGCCAGCGAGCGTCCAGCGGGGCACTCTAAACCGTCCTCAAAATCTAAGAACAAGGTAATCGATGTTTCCCCAGGATTCTCTTGTCTTGTGATACATTGTTGTTGTTGTTGTCTTCACATTGAAAACCGTTCCGGTCTCCCCTCAGTACCTTCTAATGTCCGTACTGGTCCAACTGACGCGGACGACGCCTTCCGTGGTCACAAGCCAACTGCCCCCAATATAGGGGAGGGAGTACACCTTTCTAAAAAATAAAGAAATAAAAATGGACACCAGAAAATTCCTCCAAGACGCGATTTGTGATGCAACCGAAAAAAGATCAACAGTAAGGAAAACGATAATCGGGATAAAGACGATCGACGACCCCGGCCGGTGAAATGGATGAAAGAACGAAAGGCAAAGAAAGAAATAAGAAAAGAGAAAAAAAAAAACAGAGAGAGAGTACATGGACATGAAATACGCGTGTGTTTGGTTGTTTCCCTCTCATTTTTTCGTACGCGTTTGGAAAACGTGATGAGAAATAAGACGGGGGGAGCGCTGTCTTTACTGCTGCTGCGCCCTCGCTATGTTGACAAGGCCTCACGTAGAGCAAGAGAGCAGAGGTCGCATGTTCAACGTTTGAAAAGTCGATATATCCCGTCCTCCCCGTTCCCTTCCTCCCGCCCACCCCGCCGCCGGCCTACATGTACGCCCACACAACATATGCGTACCCACACCTCGCGTAATCAAACTTTCGATTTCCCGCCCGGAAGCGATCGATGGAATCCTGTTTTTGTCCATGTGCGCGAGAGGTTGCCGACCTAGGCGGTTGTAATGCCGATTATACAGAGGCCGCTCAACTCCCTCCCGAAGCCACCTCCCTTCCGTCTCGAAAGGAAGTGAATGCGCTTCCCCAACGCAATTTTTTTTCCGTTAGTGTGCCCTGCGACTTACATGGATTAACTCACTGCTGGTCAACACCCAGTATCGCGGATGATGCTTTCCACCGCATTCGACATCCAAGATCTTCGAAACTCTCCCTCCGGTTTAACAGGGCTCGGGTAGCGGTTCTGCTCGCGGGGCTTCTGGAATGTCATCACTCGAGAAGTCCAAGTCGAAACGGCTGAAGTCGACGCAGGCTAAGGCCGAGGCCAAGAGTTGATTTTGACTGATGCTGACATCGTTCAAAGACTCCTAGATGTTATTCAGAATCGGTTTTTGGAGTTCGTTGTGGGGGCTATAGTTACAGCGTCTATTTCTAGAAGTGACCGTGCACTTGACGGGTAAAGGGTATTGCCGGATGGTCCAGTTGTAGAGCTTCTTTCCAATGCGCGCAGGAGCAGCGGGTTGATATCGGTGGGGTATGAAGAAGACACCAAAGAGCGTAAAATCTTATGTTGCAGTTTGCCTCGCCGTGATACTATGTTGGGACGTCCGGTCAAATTTGATACATAGAGGCGTGTTTGTTCCTGGTTGTGTTCTGGCTGTTTTCACGTTTTTTTTGGTCATTTTTTTTGTTTGGCTTGCCCACGGTGATTTAGGTCCAAATGTACCATAGACTCTTGAGGTGTTCATTAGACATGCCGTAGACTAAAGCCGAAATTGATGCCAGCGTACTCGTTGACTTTCGAATAGTTCAGAGTTTGGCTTTGGTGGTTTCCATTTTTATTCGATTGAGGGAGGCGGGGAGAAGCGGCGCGTGCACGTTTCATCGGGCTGAATTCCGGCAGTTGGTGTTGTGTTTTTGCTTTTTTTCCTGGCGGACGGGTGTTGCCACCCGCTCAAGGTGTTCGCACAGTGCGTCTGCCAAGGCTCTGATGGCGGTGCGTACGTGCCTCCCCCGCGCAAGCAAACCTATCTCAAATCTCAAAGTTTTGCAGTGGAAGTCGCCGAGGCTTTGGAAGTGGGGTCCGTGTTTTTTCGGATCCGTAGCTTAATGTTCAGTCCCGCATGGTATTGCGTGGGTTTCCAAATAAAACGCCGAGGACAAAAAGGAAGTAGAGCAAGTAGAGAGCTGGGACGGGGTGTTCCAGCATTATTGGAAAATAAGCTAGCCCATCTGCAAGTTTGACGAAGGAGGGGGATAACTTTGATAGGAAGAAGCAGACCTTCCACAAGGGAGCTGTACCTGGGTAGACCGTAAGGGTTGAAGGTGATGATCTCTCGCCCGTATGAATTGATAGACGCGTGTAGACGGGAGAGGCGGGTGTTCTTACAGCGGCATCTGCACGGCACTTTTTTAAAGGTGAGGGAGTAGGGTCCACATGTGAAGAAGAGCTTGCCATTGCGCAGCCACGGGCTTGTTGGATGGTATTTTGAAACTTTCGTTGGCACTTGTTGGGTGGAATTTCGATGTGTCTTTTGGTGCTGGTCGGACAGCACTCGGCGACCGGGTCGTCAAGCAACACGGTCAAGCTGTGGTGAATAAAACATAAATGATGAACGCAGGTTGGGAATGTCCCCCCGCGCAAGGGGGGTGTTTTTTGAGAGGGCGGGCACTTCTACAACGGACACCACACTCTACAAGTTCGCGCCGCAAATCTTCCGGCGGGCTTGGTATTTTGGTGCAAGAAGTGTCGCGTTCATTATACGAAAAAATGATGGTCACTCTCTTGAAGATGCGAACCTCACAAAGCGTTAAATATCAATCCGCGTCTTCCCTTCGTTACGGATGCTCCCCGTGTGATTCGAACATCGGTGTGAGTCCTCGGAAGGGCAGAGCATGCATCCGGCCGGCAACTGTTTTTCTAAGCCCACGCATTGAAATCATTGAGAAATACACGGGTGCGCTCGCAGCAGCGACGACTGGCTGTGAATGAGTTCAAAACACATGCCCTTGGAAGAGTGGGGAAAGCAGCGCTGAAATAGGCAAGAACAATATTACTCTCGTCAGAATAGCAAAGGCGTCGGTTATTCCATCGGCACCGACTTCACGCCGTGGATATCCACAGCGTCAGCGGCAATATCTCCCAAGGGCTAACACCGCGAGATCCTCGTTCACCCTCGCCATTATCCTCGTCCTCTTGCCGCCATAGGGAGTCATCCTCTCCGTTTGCCTCATCAGTGTCGCCCCTGCTGCCACGCATGCTGCTACCGCCACTCCCGGAACCTTGATGCTCATCCCTGCTGCCAGCCCCGCCCCCTATTGTGGAAGCATTCCCTCTACCTCGGTCAGCAGGGTGTCCACTTTCTCCGGGCGTTGAGTCGTCACCCACACAGGTTTTTCGCGACGGTGCTTGAATAGAAAGCCCCAACGGTCTTTTGCCGCTCCCAGGGGACGGCTTTCTTTGGTCTGCACCATCCTCTTCTTCGTGCGTTTTATTGTGTGTTCGGTCCAAAGCCTCTAGCTGGGCGAGTCGTTGGTTGATATCCTGTTCAGACGGAGGCGAGGCACCAGCGATCAGGAGCAGCAACGAAAAGCGTCAATGTCACCAGCCACAAATAAAGGAACCGTGAGTTACAAACGATTCCCAGAGCACTCCGGGTGTGCAGCAAATCTGGTCATCTAAACGCGCGGCGCTTTTCGTCAGATAATGATAGCTTCCATCTCTTTTCTGTTGACCTTCACCCAAAGGTCATCACTTTGCACACCCAAGATACAGGTTTCTCGCAGAGACCCGAACGTTGCAGCAGCAAGGCTGGTGTCGTTGGCATTGTTGCCATCCACACGCAAAAGAGAACACGGCACCCGCAAAATCATCAAAACTCGCAAGCCCGGATGTCAGCTGGAATCAAGCCTAAACCTCTAGAGCTTGGGCCATCTCTCGCTTCTCCTCTTCCTTGTTGAGCTTGGATTTAGCTTCCTTCTTCTCCTTCTCGTTGGCGCTAGACATGTACTCGAACACCACTGGCGATGTCGGCGGCGGCGGTCACGTCGAAGTTCCCATCCCGATCGCCGATTGAGAGTTGACATGTGATGCAGTGTGAGAGTGCAGAAAGTAGGTGTTTTCAAATACAACAGTAGCGACGGCGGATAAAACAGATGAAGCGAATAAAACAGTGGCACACATCTATGAATTGAGTCACCCCTCCGGTTCACCTGAGGCTTGCAGTTCGTTTGTGAATGGCCAACCATGACAAGCAATTTAGTGAAGAACATCGGCTGACTCTCCAGGATTGCCACTGAATCCACAGTTCATCCATACCAGTACATCCGTGACATGCGCGGACTTTAACAGGCTCCCAGCAACATAAGAGCACGTATTAATAGACATGGTGAAACATGAAAACTTGTCGAATCCACCAACGATTCCTTCCTTAGTGGGAAAGGTAGATTTGGTGGGAAATCACTCGAGGAGCGTATTATCTTCCGTCGACTCAGGAGCAAGCGTAGATCATGAGAGACGCGCCATACCCACGAAAAATGCAGCCTGAACAATATGCCCGTCGGTGAACACGTTGAAGGAAAGCTTGTGGCTCCCGCACACGCAGGCAAAATATTCTTGACTCACTCAAGGAAGTGCCAAGCCCGTAGATGAAGCCCTCAGCCAGCAAGTCTCCACCGTCCGCAATTGCTCTGTTCTCCTCTAAAGGCTTGATCTAAAGTGTACAACACCAAGGCGAATGCGTTAAGGTAAATCAGGCTACTAGACTCTACTCCATGACAATAGAATGGAACCTGGGTTTCAGAGAGTTGAAATACGCACCTCTTCGGAATCGGGACATTTTTTATCAGGACATAATTAGAAGGCCGATTGTTCTACAAGAAACAGTACACGCCTCTCTGACTTTTCAATTCCTACTCAAAACTAGGAGAGCCTCTGAAACCAGCATAGCGCACCTTGAACAATGAATAAAAAACGTTTCTTGAGCCAGGTCAAAGCAGCTAGTGCGACGCACTGCTTTCACAGTTGTATTCATACTCGAACACATGGTTATCGCTGATGCAAGTCATGGGAAAAGGAATTGGTTCTGCTGACCTTGGTTGTGGTGTGGCCCGCCATTCGGATGGATATTCTGGCGGAAATTCTGTTGGTGGCTTGACCCATGCTGTTGAGCACGCTTCGGAATCTAGGATGCTTTTGGGCCTCTGAGTGGGAAAGGAAACAAACAGAGTAGTGTTGAAGCCGTTGGAGCCAGCCATATCGAAACGCACACCCTATGCGCGTGTTCTTACATCGCAAACAAGATGCCAATTAAAAAATGCACATCTTGAGACTGCGGCTGGTTGTCCTGATGCGTACTTGAATTGAAGTCTCCATGTTGAAAGTCGGAGAAAAAATAGTACTATCACACACACATGTGAAACGACGTCGAACTTTACAACGCAAACCAAGTTCACAAAAATCAACGCAAACGCGTGGTGCCTGGAATATAATTGGACTATGCACAGGAGGCACGCGAAGAGTGACACGGACGCGGCCTGCATGCATGCACGGACCTGGAAGGGCTGGAAACGAGTCGGTCATTCGCAAGTTCCACAGGTCGGATGGTCGGGTCTTGCCTACCTTGCGTTCGCCGACGACAGTATTGCACTACAGAGCTAGATGCCTACGAATAGTTACAAACAAGTACATGGCCGCAGCATCAATGAGCTTTGTATTGAGGTGCCACATCAGGTACGACGTGTAGACATGTAGTCTAGACATGCGTGTTACTGGTACAGAACCCCGCCTTGGGAGCGGCGCAATGATCCTTTGTTGGCAAAAAACGACCAAAACTAGCAGAAGTCCGATGCCGAGACCGCTCGTACACGTGTGCCATGTGCCATGCATTTCACGGCTGCAGTACGAACACATGTCGACGATAGTGCTGGCAGTCTATGGAGGGAATCCTACACCGCGGGCACAACCGCGACTGCGGCACGTACAGGTGTCTTACCTCTTACTCGCGAAATGCATTTCTCAAACTCACCCGTTTTGATCTTCTTGGCCATTGGCTTTGCTAAGGTCTTCACCGTCATGGAAAAGAGCTTCAGCACCGGGAACGACACCATGGTTGATGCCCGCCCACCTCTCTCGTGTTCTGTTGCGCTTAGCAGATAGGCAGGAAGGAAGCCATCATTGCCATCTGTGCTGCGTAGGGGCTCCGCACTGGAGCAAGTGAAAAAGTAGGGTATGCACGTGCAGACGTTGGTTCAACGTCAATTGGTGTGGTTGCCCCCGTCCTCTTCATGAGCTGATGAGCAGGCAGCAGCGCAACATCTGCCAGGCACAACACACACGCTACGTGCTCGAGAGGACAACCCATGAAGCAGAGGCTCCAGCTGGGTGTCTCTGGCTGCCAAGCCGTGACGGCAATTCGCGAACGGAAGCACCGAGGAAGGCGCGGAGCTCTCCATGCTGCTCTGCAGCAGTCGGCGAGAGAAGGCGGAAGGTCGGTGATGCCGCCGCTGCTTCTGCTGCTGCTGCTGCTGGTGCTGTCGCCCGAGATTTGTTCTGGCTTCACAGCCGGCTTGAGTGCTGTTGCAACACGTTCATGTTGGGCCCCTAGTCGACATGGCGTTTCGATGCCATCTTCACAGCAGCACGGGCGCGAGTGGCACCGGTGTACTGGCTGCGGCGTAGACAGGTCACGTTCGGACTCGGGGCGCAGCCGAAGACTGCAGGCCGTCGCCGAAGAAAGTGGTGGGTTGCCCCAGAACAGCCGATATTGTGTTTGCCGCTGATTCGAAGCTGGTATTTGCGTGTGCAGCAGTACAGTACACCGCAAATAGAAAATAATGGTTGGTTCAAATATCGGTGTATTGCCGCACGAAAATCGTACACTCGGCCGTGGCAGGGAACAGAGAAACGCCTTTGAGCTCAGGAAACAGCTCATTGACTCATCCCATATCTCATACCTCAACTGCACAGGAGTATCTACAGACCCCGGGCTCGTGTTCACCCCCGACATGCTTTGGAAGGATGCATAAGCAGCGTTGTTTGTGCCCTATGGCCAAGTACAGTGACCCGTGTTGCCGCCGAACCGGTAATTACGGGGAGGTATTTCTCCGTAGACTCGCTGCGGGTTGGTGGCTCGTCTGGTTCATGTCGCATGCGGTCGGTTATTGGGTGCGAGAGGCGGCAGTAAACGACGGACCCGCATCACCAACAAACCAACAGCGGTAGCACTCTTGTCTATGATCTACATAGGCCTGATTTGGTTCAGACACGATCTTGGTGATCGTCGAACCAACAATAGCCTGGGCTATTTGTGCCACCCGAAATGTCTGCTGTCAGAAACCATTAGGGGTGAGGCGTGAGCCAATGGGACAGGAGTGCAATCACGGGCCCCCCTATTGGGCGGGTGGCCGGCATACTGTTCGTGGAATCTCTTATCACCGATGGAACCGATCAAGCTGTTCTTCACCTCGAACGGCGCGGGTGCCCGCTAAAGGCCGGGGGAATCAGACTTATCACGTAGCCGCCCTGTTGAAGGCCCACGACTTTACCGTGATATCGGCAGGGTCTTCCAGGCTGCTGTGATCCTTTAAAGTGTCGAGCCGAGGCGCATTTCCGCCTTGCCTTGAGAGTGTCGCATGAGCCTGCTGTCAAATGTTGACTGAGTCGTCATGCCACAGCAGTGTAATTCGTGTGTGCCGTAACCGTAGACGCTGTGCATGCGCGGCGATTTGGTTGACACGCGTCCCTTGACTCGCCTCTCGAAGCTCCCCCGGAAAGACGCCTCAGCTGTGAAGCCGCACGGGTGTGCCTTGTTTCCGTTTTCTCTCTTCGAAAGTTGTCGAGTTTGGCTCTCTGACCAATCACACCGCCCGACAATTTGAGCAGATAGTCCCAACACCACCCGTCGGCGAACAACACAACAGCACGAGCAACAGCGGCAGCTACAGCAACAGCGAGAGCCCCCAACGCAACAGCAGCAACAGCAGCAAAAACAACAAAGAAGACAACCGCAGCCCCCTCAGGGCGTATCCCCTTCTTCAGGTGGAAGAAGCGTGGGCGCGGCGGTAGCGCCGCGAACGCAATCAGCGGCACCCATCTCCATAGAATCTATCGCGTCAACGCTAGAGAGCGGCCAGAGCCAGACCTCCTCCGCCAGAAGCAATGGCAACAATCCTAGCGACCAACAGCAGCAACAGGTCTGGAGAGACAGCAGCTTTGATCAACGCGGCAGGGGCGACGCCGCGGCGGCAGGTCTTCGTTCGCGAAACACTGAGGAGCCGGGGTGGGTGGGCGATGATCAGGAACCAGGCTACGACGACGGCCGGAATGGGTTCCCGGGCGGGAGAGCGGGGGTGGCAAATGCAGCCCGTGACCCGGGGGTTGTGGAAGGTGGGGACATCGTGGGTGAGGAGCAGTCCAAGGGGAACCCCAACAAGTGAGTGTGGCGGCATGAGAAGTCTTGTCTCAGAGGTTGCTGCCGAATGTCGTTGTTGTTGTTGTTGTTGTTGTTGTTGTTGTTGTTGTTCATGTGATCAGAACTTCACGGACCGCAGAACTCTCGATGCAGCACAGCAGTAGCGCTGGGTTTCACAAGCCTGGGAACAGTAGTTCTTTTGCTCGTTGACAGCCCCTGGTGAGATCGGAACGATCGTCGTCGCGACTCCCCCCCTGGGGCAGGACATGCCGCGCATCTCTATGACGATGCTGTTGTAGTGTGTTATGGTGGTGATTGTGGTGATGGTGGTGCCACTGCTGGTCCTGCTGCGGCCCGTACTTGTTGGTCTGACGATTATTATACCGGACGTCGACAACCAGCTGCGAGTGCCCGTTCTGTTCTTCCGCAGAATAGAATAATTTCGCCTCGATCTTTGTTCTCGACGAGCCAGTCCTGCTGGGGCCCTGAAACCGCCGAGATGATACAAAGTCTCTATTGTGGCGTGCAATAGCATGGGTATTCGAACTAACCGACACCCCTTTCGTGTGCAGGGAAGCGTGTGGTTTACAATGAGTACGGTTGGTTGTGCGTGTGTGGTCTGATGCGGTCTTGCTCCGCCGGCTAGCGCTACGTACGACCTGCTTCCGTACGTGAAGCGTCAGTCGACCACTGCTGCTGTTGTTGCTGCTCCGGCTGCTGTGCCAGATTGTCTCTCAGAAAGCGGAGGGCGAGGGAAAGGAAGAGGGAGACGCCGGAAGAGAAGCAATTGCAGAACGAGGTCGCTCTGTGAGTCGCTCGATCGTGTTACCGTCGTCGCGTGTCGTTATTCATGATGTTGGTGGTTGTTGTTGTTGTAGTTGTGAATAGTAGCAGGAGCGGTCCCGTTATAAAACCACACAATACCGGGTAGAGGTCTTCGGTTTCGGATTACAACGCCAACAGCATTTCACTCGGCGCTTAGACAACGGTGTGCATGAATATGGTTGGCGTGTGCAGGGTATGTTATCGACAAAGCGACGGCCGCTGTCGCCTCCGCCCAGTGACTTCTTGAATTGCACTAAATAATCCAACCACGCGCCTGTGGTCGTTGTCGTTGTTGTTGTTGTTGTTGTGTGGCGGTGGTGGCGATTGTCAGAGCGCTGAAGGCCGACTCCGCCGAGGAGACGCTTCGGTCGTTCAATACGGCCATGGAGATGGGAGTTGCGCTTAGGGCCAACCTGCTCCGGGGTGTCCTGAACCAGTGCGCCAAGGCCGGCCTGATGGACGACTGCATGAGGGTCGTCATGGAGATGAAAGGTGGGGCACTCTCCGTTTGGACTTGGCTGCTTCTTCCTGAAGTTGCTGCATCCCTGGTGGTCTCGCAGCCGGGGGGTATTGCGGTCGGTGGGACCCGGATCTACTGCACAATGTATGAACAGGCCAGATCGTTTTCAGAGTCGAACGAGTTGGACTATGCCCTGTACGGCGGCGTGCGTCATCATTAGACGTTTGGGTTTGTCGCTCACGCGTGACTAACCCTTCCCGTACCCTTCGATTCTGCAGTATTAAGCTCCCTTGTGGCCTGTCCTATGTTTCATGTTTTGGTTTCAACTCGTGGGATGAAGCGTGTGACGTGGTACATAGGCTCTTCATGTGCTTTGATGCAAAGTTGTAGCACTTGCTGAGGCAGGGTGTGAGAGCGGGGTTTTGGCGTTAACCACGGAGAACCTGCTGTCTCATCTACGCGGTCATGTTGCCATCGAAATTTCAAAGCAGGTTGTGCGTCTTGTCATTTGTGACAACATGTAGGTCGGCTTGACAATATCGTGCGTCACGTGTAGGTGGTGACAAATTGCCGAACAGCCGCATTCCACATGCCGTCCATGACGCACACTCTGTGCCCCGTGATGGATTGATTTCTACGTTTGTTTTGTGCGGACTTGGGCGTTTTGGCTGAGGCATGCTCATGGTTGGTGCTCCTTCCTTGCGTGAATGCACAAAGCGCCATTTCTGTCTTGTTTCTGCAATCGTTGTGCAATATTTGCGCGATCTCTGAAACTTTGTTTCCTTCGCTTGTGATGGCAGAGAGGGGCATGGTGATCGAGGAGAACACGTACGTGCCGCTTATCCGCGGCATGGTGAGCCATGGCAACTGTCACGACGCTTTCGATCTCATCAAAGACATGGTGAACCAGGGGGTGCAGCCCAGGCTGAGGTGCGGCGGCTCTAAGAACGGCACAGCGCCCAACATCTACGCTAGCGTGGTTGTGTTTTCGGTGCTCTATTTTGTTCAATAACCACCCGGTCGGACCAGTGATGCAGCCCTGATCATAAGCAGGATGGGGACACGTGTCGTTACACGTTCGAAGGGTATGTTTTCTATCCCAAATGCATGTCGGAAGTTGATGCACCGATATATTGTTGTGTCCTACTTGCTATGCCAACTTCCATGGCGTGCAGTAGTCGTGCAATGTTCTTTTTGCGTGTGCCCACCAACTCGAAACACGGGCCCTTCCAAGTAATGTTGAAACTATTTCAAGGTGACACGTCGTGGTGGTACGCATCTGGTGTGTCTTTGCTGATGCGTGTTCCAACAGGTGTTACGAGCCGGTCATCGCGGAAATGTGCCGCGAGGGGGGTATGGACGCTGCCAGAGAGGTAACTCCGGCGATTCTCCACCGCAAAACAGGCTCTCGTTTCGCACTGGAAATTCACTGGCTTCGCAACACATCCACCAGCTCTGCACCGCAGTGTCTTGCTAACAACGTGACCAGGTGTTGGAGCTGGCTGTTTCAGCACTATCCCTCTGAGTCTTGAGGCCCTTGCTACGCACGTATAAGTATCACTCACCGTCTTCGCGCGCACCTTCCATCAGGTCCGAAGACCTCAGTCTGTTGCTGTTAGGCCTGAGTACGCGTTGAGAGGTCTTTCGGTCCACCCTCTCTGTCAGCTCTTAGTAGATATCAGGAAGTGATTCTTCAACACGCAGGCCGCCCCCCCCCCCCTCCCTCTCTCGTGTATCCAGCATGTGTCGTCGCTTGGCATCGTGTGCACGACCTGCACGCCTCCACGTATGCTCCTGCGTTCTGGGAAGTTTTCCAGCCACACGCAACACAGTCGATTGCGGGGCGACGATGGTATGTTGTTTTCACATTTTTATGTTCTTTTTCATGAACCCCAGGTGTGGGAGCACATGGAGCAGCAAGGCGTCATTCCGCGCGAGGAGCAATACGTCAACTACCTCTGCGGCCTCAGCGTTGCCGGCGAGCTGTGGGACAACGCACGCTCCGGAAAGCTGGACGAGAAGCTGCTGGAGATGTCCTACCACGCCAGGTGGGTGGCAGAGAGTGCCAGCTGCGGTGTGGATTTCTTGAGCCTGTTTATCAACAATTGAACGGTTTGGTGGCATGATCTGCTGCATTCTTGTTGCGTGTTGTGCATGGACACCCCCTGTTTTCTTTCAGGGTGGCGAGAACACTGCTGGGATACTTTTCGTGGTGTTTTGGTGTTAGTTCGACCTGACGCTTTTCCGCTTTGTCGTTTTCATGGCTGTTTTCTTTTCGGTACCACAGTTGCAGCTCTATTTAATCGTAGGCAAACGGTTTCAAGCGCTGCCGAGGTGAGCGCTAGCTTCCACAGCAGTATCACCCGGCTTCCAATCCCATGTTGGGGAACACAATCGTGCTTAATGGCATTGGGCCAACAACTCGTGGCCGTTCACAACCCGATTTCTCACGATTTACCTCCCCGCGTGAGGTTCGACTTTTCCACATTGCACGTTGCCCCGCATTTCACATCTTGGCGTGCGGCTTGATTTGGCGCAGGAACCTTACGATGGGCCAGGTAGAACAGCTGGAAGAGCACTTCAACGCGGTCCCACTAGCGGCGACGCCTTCAATCCCCATCAACGGCGATGCCGGTGCGGTGGGGGACACGAATGCCTTCGCTATCACGGAGGCGGTGAAATCGTCCGTTCCGCTAGCGCGGAGAGTTAAGGTATGTCAGGCAATCGAATCGCTCGAAACATCTGAATGATCATGTTGATTCCTCCGTCTGCTCCCAGTTGTGTGGGGTCGGATACCGCGATGAGCTGCTTGTGTGGATGGTGATGGGAAGTGGTGCTTGCGCGTGTAACAGCATGCGGCCCGAGAGGTTTGTCTACAAGGAAATTCGAAGACTCGAAGTGAGCGATATCGGCGATATCATATCGACTATCGTGACATGCGATAGAGCTAACGATTCTGTGGGAACGCCATAACAAGAGCAGCGGCGGCGGTGACAGCAGCAGCAGCGCCAAGTACTGGAGCAAAACAACAAGATGAACTCTTGTCTCCGCCGGCAATGGTGTATGTATCGCCTAGGTCGCCGGCGGGCACGAGATCGATGACGACAGCTGGACGAGAGAGTGGTCCAGCAGAAAGCCGACACGCGCCGAACGGCCCCACAGCTGCCCCGCCTGCGGCGGGGCCCTCCGGGCCGTCGGCCTAACTGATGGCGAGAGGGCGAGGATCCGGGAAACGCTGTTCGGTCTGGCAGGACTGCAGGTCAAGAAGCACGCGAGAAGCAGGCAAGAGCGAGAATCCCGTGCGATAACAGTGAACGACGTTGTGAAACTCGCGGATCTAGACAAAATATTGCGTCGATCTCGCTGGGAGACGAATCTCACCAGCGAAGCACGTAGCCTCGTTCGAAGCAACAGCTTGACTCTCGGAACAACTTTTGGAAACTTTAGGGTTCATCAATGCCGCCGTGATGTTGAGCAATACATGGCGTCTGGGTTTGCAGTGTACTTCTTGTTGTGGATGGTCGCATCTGCTTTCGTGATGAGATGGCCAAAAGCGTGCACGCGACAGGAACGTTAGGAATAGTCCCTTCGACATTCACGATGGATTCACTTCCGACGACAGTGCACGGTTTGGATTGTTACCCGTGTAAATTGCACTCCTGGAAGGTTATTCGCTTAATTCCGGAACCGTTATGTCCGCGGAGCAACACGGAACAGCAAATTTTTCGTTTCATTTCGCCTAAGGTCCCAGTAGTTGTGAACGCGAGTACATGGAGGGAATGTGTTTACGGTTTCTGAACGGCAGGCCAGTAGCACGGAGCGATACGTGTCGCAGATAGCCTCCTCGATCTTCTTTCGCACACCTCGTTCATGTTCTACATGTAGTTTCGTTTGGTGCGCGATCGGCACGGTAGTGGGTGCAGCCATGACCCTTTCTCAACTAGAGTTATTCAAGTATTTTTTTATTCTTTTTCGTCTTCACTTCAAATCAGCGCTCACAACATTTTTGCGCCCCTACTCACCCCTCCTGCGGTGCTTTGCCTTCGATTTTTTTGCGAGAAGAGTACAGCACTCTCTTCGGTCTGTGTACACACAATCGAGCGCTTTCCACCCAGGCCAGGAACGGAAGCAAGAGAAAAAATCGCTTTGCAAGAAAAGCTCCCTTGCGCCGGGATTCAAACCCCTGACCCTGTCCACAAATTGTTTGGTTTTCGAGGATACCAACTAGCCTACCGGGGCGACCGGCAAGAAATGATTGTTGAAAATTGAATGGTTTTATTCAGTGAAAAGTGTTCGCGGCTAATCAATACAATCAGTGAACGCCTCGCGATTTTTCCGATTCATTGCAACGTCCTTTCTGTGGCATACGGAGAGAGACGAAAAGTCTCCGGAAAATTTGTTTCTTTCGCGTGCGCTGACCAATTCACCCTTGTTGCAGGCACACGAAGATGCTTGCGAGGAGCCGGCAGCGCCAAGGCAACGAGAACCCCTTCTACAGCTTCACGGACGAGGACCAGAAGGAACAGCTGCAGATCTTCGTCGACTGGCTGCACGCGCAAAGGGTGAGGGCAATCTAGCCGGTCACACAGCATATTTTCAAGGTCTGTGCGTTCATACAAGGGCGAGAAGGTGGCGTGGAACCACTATCGGCCAGTACGCATGAGAGAAGGGTAAGGTTGTATCGATCCAGTGCTCCACGCGTCGACGAGAAGATGCCGGATGAGTGCTGTGGTGTCGCTGTTTGTTGTGGCGTTCAACAACCATACCCGAACGCCATTTACTTGGGCCATGGGGACGCCTAAATGCAGACTGGTTGTCTGGGTGCGGGCGCATGACTTCAGGACCCCGCGGAGTTCGGGCACCAAATTGCTGCTTTTTCGGAGTACGTGTCACGAGCCATCCGGGTCGGTTCTTCTTTTTTGCCCGACTGAAGTGTACTCGGCAGGAGGATGAGAGACTGCCATCCCCCTTCGGCGCGTAGTTCGGTGTCGGCAGGAAGTGCATTCCGTCGGTCGCCCGGGAGTGAAATTTTCTCTTGTTGGCTGGAGTGAACGGCTTGCAAACGTATGCGCATATTTATCCGGAAGAGTTGCAACACAATCGATGTTTTTGAGTGAAGCTCCGTGCGGGTTGCGTGGGTTTGCCCCCATGTTAAGAGGGAAGTTCAATGTTGCTTTTGCCTCCACGGAGGGTTGTGACGGAACTTGCGCATCCTCCATGTCATGGGATTCATTTCACGGCCTTGGTGCTCCCAACCATGACCGCATTGGCAGTTATTGCACGCATGTAAATGCCACAACGATGCCTTGTCACGCTCACCCACTAGAATAGTATGTGCGTCACCTCTGGCGCACTGATTTTTTGTGTGTATGTTATGTTGTCGATGACAATTGCTTCCGCTGCCCAAATGCATGTTCACCAGGCTGACGGCAAGACCTACACGGCCGTGATCGACTCTGCTAACGTTGCCTACCACAAGGGGAGCGCATTTCATTTCAGGTGAACACAGTGCCACGGGAACCAGGGTTCCCGTTGATGGTACCTCTTTTCGCGATTGAGATCGTGAGGGAAATACTTGATCCGCTAATAAGACGGGTGCACGTACGTAGTACTCGTTTTTCTAGCAAGTGGTTGTCTCCAACTCTCGTTTTGTGTGCGCTGTCTCATCGCCAACTGCGTTGACCATCAACTACCCGCTTCCAGTCGTTGTGTGGACAACATTGGCGACTTTGATCTACAACCATACGCGCGCTTAGTCGGTCGGGTGGAGTGCCGTTCACTGCCCCCTTTGGTTTTATGACATCGGCAAACTCTGCCAGAAAGTGGTGGACCTGTACAACCCATGCGTTTCGTACGCGTTGCTCACATAGCTGTTGGCCTGTAGTCAACGGGTGCTTATCTACTATTTCTTCCAATGTTCTTCGCGCTCGCAAAGCTTACCCCAGGTGGACCTGATGGTACAAGCGCTAGAGGCCAAGGGGGAGCGACCGCTAGTTCTGATCGCCGAGAAATACATCGACCGCGTGGGGGACCTCTACGATAACTCGTAAGTGTTGGGCGCTGATAACTGGGTGCTGTGATATGATATCAAATTCACAAATGAGCCAGCACACGAGTGAACTGATTGTGGTGCTTCTTGCTAGGCGACCGGGTTTATTCTCCCCTGAAGTAGTGTTTGGATAATTTTGGGCCGTCGAAAGGATCGCTAACGGATTTGTCGTTTCGCCGTGAAATGTGTCGTATTTCGGACGCTAAATGAGCTACCCGCGTCAGGCATGACACCGACGAGGACTGAACTCTGATTGAGATCATATCACAGACGTGTGTGCACTCTATAACGTGCGTGTGAAATGGCGACGGGGGCGGAAAGGAGTGAGCGTCGATGTGCAGGGGGCACTGATTTGAAGGGAACTGCGTCAGCGACAACTGAGAGAGTGAAATTCATGCTTGGAGGTGACTTATGGTTTTATAGGATTGCATTGTTTGCCAGCTCTTCGTGTCTACCGTTACAGTGGGTGTCATGGCACCCATCGTTGATTTCGTACCAATAGGTGTTATGGCACCGGGGTGTGCAATGAAAAGCAGAACAGCATTTTGATGGGACCGGGGTGTGTGCAATATGTACTAGAACGGTATGATTGTAATTTTGATTTCCGCACCGGTATCGGTGTTAACGCGTCCGGTGCCATATCAACGATATCTACCCTGCTTAGGGCGGAATTTCGCGTGCTTCCGCAAGGTACCGGTACCCTCCTGGCCACGTTGCGCTGTCTGTGACGACGGCTGTAATGCCGGTAGGTATCGATCGGGGCGCCATTCCTTTCATGCATGCATTTCGTTCTGTCGAGGTGTGCGCGTAGAAACGGCTCAAGAGCACCGCACAATCACACTGTGATTTCTTCCGTATCGCACACATCGATGTCATCGCACCGGCGGTGTGTTGGAAATCTGAATCGAAATTTTGTGGTTACATTTCCGCACCGATCATGTGGCACCCATCGGTGTTATGGCACCGGGGGGCGGGGGGGAGGGGGTGTACTCATAGTCGTGCATCCCTCGTATCCCTGCAAAGCCGGGACGGAGCACGCCGGGTTCTCACCGGACCAGGCTCACATCACCAAGCGCGAAGCGCCGTGAGGTATTCGGCGGGTCGCACGAAGGGTGCCCTGCATGCTGCAAAGGTGTTCGGCATCTTGTGCTTTCTTCCTTGCGTACGGATGACAGCTGCGTATGACTTAATTTATTTTCTGGTGCTTTCACTTCCAGAGACAGTTGTAAGCACTGTGTAAGTGCCTTGAGGATGCTTGACCATTTTTGCACAACGTGGTGCGATCATCCCCCTTGCGCGGAGTGAGGGTTCTTGACCCCGCACAACATGATCTACTCGACCACCATTCATGGTTACCGCAACAAAAAAAAATAGAGGAACAAAAAAAAGCGGTAACCTGGTTGCCGAGCTCACGAAGTGAATCGCCCTGTTTATCAACGTCGTTGCCAAGCGACGAAAACCCAATCCCCATGGCAAACACCGAGGGGGGGTTATGGCACCGGGGTGCGAAAAAAAGCCAAGAGAGGGATGAAAAACGATCGCACGTCGGTGCCATAACACGCACTTTCACGGTACATAAAAGGAAGTTTGATTCGAAGCTGTTGAATTTTGTCCCAGAGCGTCCTCAGAGCGACGGCAGTGAAACTCACCGGATGCGGCAAGAGTAAAATATGGCGTGTGTTGCTAGGCACCGAGGACAGCTCTGATCCGGTGTAGACTTAGGTCGAAGAATCTCATGAGAACACGTTAGTGAGAGGGAGCATGGTTTCTCTCCAAGCTTTGTGTGCTTGCGGAGCGGCGCGCCAGCGGCACGCACTCTTTCTTGACATGTCGTACTTCCTCTGGGGTGACCGTTTTTTGGTTTGTTTGTTGCCGCCGCGTGCAACGACTGTATTGACACCTTTTCTGCTGCTATCGCTTCCTGTTACTCACAATTTTCTGGTGCTCTGGCGTCTTGTGCACCCGGTGGGTTGGTTGTCCTCAGGCCCGCACGGGGCGGGTTCAGGTACATGTCCAACCCTCTGAACAAGGCTATTGTCAAGCGATGGCGTGCCAAGTCTCAGGTGAGGCTTGCGGATATATGGGCGTCTACCGTGCGGTAGCATTTTCTGAGTTGACGTGGGGCTATCATGTGTCGACAACGGGGTAGTAATTGAGCGCTCGTTGTAGATCCTTTCGAATGCGGAGTGTGCCACCTCCCCGCCCACGGCCCCGCGTTGATCGCTATCTCGCCAAAGGGGTAGGGTGGATGGCAGACTTAGGGTTCGTTTCGCCGCCCATTACAGCGTACTGAGCTGGAAAAAGTGATCGTCGGGGGAATAACATGTCCCGTGGACTTCTCGACCGACTTCTCGCACACGAGTATTATCCTCGGTTTGCTACAGGAATATTCGAGTCACGCTCTGGTTGCCTAGCCGATGTGCCAAGTTTATCTGCGGCCGGGTCGCAAAGCGATTGTTTACCCTGTTGGGTTTTTTTAGCTGTAGGATGGTGCCTAAATGACGCCCGAACTGGTTATCCTTTTGGCCCAGAAGAGGCATGCTTGCAATTTCAAACCGCAGCCATTCACCCGTGACAGTCACGACGATCGCCATTAATTATTGTTGGAGCGGCTGCTCATCTGTTTTGGAGCCGTGGCCGATCTTGCGGCTGAAAGGATGACAAAAACGCATATGTAGGTGCTTTACCATTGTTGCGTTTTGAGATAACTTTTCGTTCAAGTTTGTTTTTTATTCTCGACTCCAAGCGGGCGTCATTGCTCATGAGCTGCAAGCGTATTTTTGGTATTCCCCCCGAAAGAATTACTTCATCCAAAGTACTGTATGCATCGAACCTATTTCGTTTAGTGTTGAAGCTTTCCGGCTTTCTGCTCACGGAGACGGCTTCGTCCCCATGAGAAACATTCATTCATGCTGAAAGTTGAAGATGATACCCATTTCAACGCGTTTTCTTTCACATTTTTTGTTTCTCATTGCTGATCGTGCCAGCTTTACGAGTGCTCTGACGAGGCGTCGGACGACTGGTACTGGATGTACGCGACCGTTGCGTTCGACGATATTCCCATGACGGTCATCTCCAACGACAGGACAAGGTGCGTAAAGTGCAGGCCAGGTCGTGAATGCTGGGTAGTACATACACCGCAACAATGTGATCACTCAACGGAGCGTGCAGCAGTTGTGGCATGCTTCCTCAGTTTGCGCTTCGACAACAACCGAAAGGGAAACCATTTCATCTTGAGTTCCAGCGAAAGCGACAGGAATTTCACGCAATGGCGGGACCTGATCCGCACGGAATATTCCTATCCCTTCACACGTTGGCGTACTATCATTTGATATACGCGCCTATGTTTGGCTACCGCCAGCATATGTCGAATCGAGTCTCTCCGACGACGCACATATTTTTCTGACACGGCCGCGTTTGTTCGTGCCCGATATCAACGCACGCCGAACGCTGCGATGTAGGTGGGTTGCCTCCTAACGCTGCCCCCATATTTGGTTATTACTCTCGCGCGATTTCTCGGTGCTTCGTTTTTATGGGTTTCAGAGATCACCGCATGTCTTTGGCCGAGACGGTGCCGTACCTGCGGTGGAGGACCACGCAGCTCGCCCAGTTCGAGCTTACATACCCTCTAAAGGATATCATGGGAAAGGTGACCAATTTTTTAGTGCGTGCGGCCTAAGTTTCGTGCAAGCCGTGTGCTGGTTCGACGGGGTTTTTTTGTCGCGGTGTCTCTTGGCTTATGGTGTTGTGGGAGTAGTGTTTGCGAGAGTTGTTAATCCCGCGAAGTGAAATGCTGGTGTTTGGTTGACGCACGCGGAATGCTGTGCAGGGCCGCCGGCAGGGGCGTTGGCGTTGTTCATCGCAAATCTATTCTGCATGCCTCTGGCCGTTGAAGTTGTTGAACGGATATGATGGAGCTTGAAAATATCTGTGTTCTTGTAGATATGCAAGTGCAGACCCCTAACATTGATGGAGATTTTCGCTATCGTCCTATATAGACCATGTGGGCTTTCCAGACGTTTTGCTATCGGAGCCAGTGTATTGATAGGTTTTGACACACTCCACCATGCTACCCCTTTGATGTTCGGCGTTGCGGTTGGACCCACCAGGGCTTAAATCCGCAAGGCTGGCCAGCGAACCCCCCACAGGTTGCCATCCAGCCGCCCCCCGCCTTCACGCGAGACGTGCAGAAGAGCGAACAGGTGAAACATCCGAAACCTCCACCTTGATATCTACCTTGTGGCGATGGTATTGGTTGCTGCTGTCTCCGTCGATGGTTTCACTGTTTTGTGCCGTGGTTGATGGTACATGTATGATGCTGATACGCGCGCATCGAAGTTGTATTTCTCCGGCTCGGGCCCGCAGTCGCAGATACTGGCTTCCCTTTCCTAATACGCGAGACGCACGCACGCAGTCATATCGTGGCCTTGTCTTGAGATATTTAACCAAGGCGCACCCGATTGGGAAAAGAAGCGGAAACCGGTTGCACCAGTGACGGGGAGAGAAACGGTTTGCCAGGAAGGTCGGTGCACGGTTGCAAACGCTTCCCACAAGTTGTCGGTGACGCCTTGTCACAAGCACGGTCGAAATCCCATCACATGGCACGCTTTCCCGAAAGACATCGACATCTACAGGATTGAGTTCTAACGCCAGGTGCGGCGAGAGCAGGTTTGCCGTCCTGTTCTTGGTTATATGGTCGTTGACTACTTGTTGTTGCTTGTAGCGGGTCTCCGCGTCACTGGCTCATTGCCGCGCGACGAGCGTGGGTAAGGCCGTCAAGAAAATGCGAATTACAGGCAACCCATGCTGCAGATGCAGCCGTCAAATATTTGCGTCGTAATCCACTTGTGCTATGTCATACGCAGATGTACGTGATGATCGAGTAAACCATATTCACGTAACACCGAGCACGCCGGCATAAGGATTACGAATGGTGGACCCACGCCCAATATCATCGCCGCCTTTCGTTGTCACCCAGGGGTGTTGGCACGTGCCCGCCGGGGCCGACGATGAGTGGCTGTGCATCGACGTCCAGCGGGGATTGAGAATGGGGCTCGACAAGCTCATGCCCACCCCGCGAAAGACCCACCCGAATATACATGCGGACAGTCCTCCGGGAGAAACCAACGACGGCAGTGCGAGGGATGTTGCTATGGTTAGCTCTGGCGGTGGTGCTCGTACTGGTGGTGCGGAAGATGACACGCTTAGAAAGGTGCGGGGTGCTCCGGTTGCGTTCGTGATGGTGTCGCCGTGGTGGTGGTGGTGGTGGTGGTGGTGGTGGGTCTTCACGGACTGCTAGAGGCACAAGAGTTGGCAAGTTCGTTTTCGTCCACTACGCCATTATTGTTGCCAAATTGTGAAAATCTGGCGTATGTCGCTCATTCTCAGAGCACTGTGTCATGAGTTTGATTTTGAAAACAAACGCAAGAGCACCAGAAAAATTCACAACAGACAAGATCACGTTGCTGGCACGCACGTGTTTGCTTTTCCGCTGAAAGAAAGGGGGTCTCGGTTGGTTTTGATTCTGCTCATCTCCATGATTGGCTTGGTCGAATAACTGCTGGTCTACACATCTGACACTGGTGTGTGCTCTTGTTCCGCTCTTGACGACGGTTGTGATCAGGTCGGGGGGCTACTGCAGTCCATGCGAGTCAGGAAGCAGCATTCTCGCTCCTCCCACTCCACCCAGGTACATGTGGGCCGTACTCGGTATCCCTGTCTTCCCTCCGTTTGACTGAGATTACCTCAGATGTTGGGCGCCCAACAGTATTCCTCCATGAATACATACCCTCAACCCTACATGCTTTGCTGGCGAAAACAATCAGACAGTCACCGCTTTCCAGAGGTGTGGATCGGACCGTAGCACGCTACTTATCTCGTACGCGGTAAGCGCCGCCACATAATATCTGGCGATAAAGTGACTGTCCCCCGTTGACGGACGTGAACCCCCTCCAGTTCCAAGGGTCTGGTTGCCCAAACATGCAAACATGCAATTCAACTCCACGACGTACATACTACATGAGTTTGTGTGTTTTTTGTGCCATCATATTTGTGGGCGCCAGTCTACACCTGTCGGTGTATGTTTGACGCACCAGCCGGGAACACACGCGAGTAAGGTAGGAGTTGGACAGCCGTTCTTAACGATCCATAACAAGCAGTTTCCAAGTAGTGGACCGAGTCCTGGGGACACCTGCAGCTGTGGACCGTTGTATTTTCATAAGATGTGCTGCTCTACGTGATAGCGACAAGACGTTGAATCCAATGCAGCCAAAGCGGTCTTTTGCATGCAGCCAAAACATTTTCTGTATCCTTCCTTTTCACAGCAGTAAAGTCTCACCTGAATACCGGGCTCAACATCGCGGCAACGCCCAACACATTGTAACATGTGCGCTGATCTCCCTCGCATGTGTTGGTTGGCCCCTTTTTGCTTTCGGGGAATCGATGAGGAGTCAGCGATGGCGGCAAGCCAGGACGTTCTACGCCAAACTTGCATTTCTGATCACACGACCCCCTGTTGTTGGAGTTACCAATACAACGCGGCCCCTTCCTGTATTTTGCGCGTTCATACTATTCTATTGACAGGGAACGGTCGAAGAGGCAGCGGTGGCAGCAAAGCGGGCGGCCGCACGAGCCAGGGCCGACGCCACCGCAGCCGACGCGTTGGTAGCCGAGGCACTGTTCGCCGATGCTCAGACCACCGGTGGTGTCTCAAGAGACTCGCCGTACGCCAGAGTGCTAGCTGCAGATGCCGCGAGGGTGAAGGATCGGTTAGATGAGGCCCGATTTGCCGACGTTCTTAGTGACGACGGGATAATCGAGGACTCTGTTCGGCAGCAGCCATTTGTAAGCGGTCATGATGGGAGCGAGAGTCAGCAGCAACGGCAGCAGCAGCAGCAGCAGCAGCAGCAGCAGCAGCAGCAGCAACAGCCACGACCGCTTGCCGGGGCGCGACGACCACCTGTCGGGGCGCGTAGAGGTGAAGATGTGGGTTCAGCAGCAGCCGCAGCAGCGATACCCCCAGCGCCAGTACCGGCAGCACCAAAAGCAACGCCCAGGGACCCTGACTCAATATCAACAACCACGGGGGGGGCAGCTTCGCAGCCACCAGGAATCAGACATACGGGAGAGCGAGGGGCAAGAGCAGTACTCCCCCCGGAGACATCCAGATCAACCGCGGCTGATGCTATAGAGGACTCTCTGAAGGAAGACGGCGCAGAAGAACGCGTATCCGACGTCGATGAAACTGCCTCTGAGAACGAGCAGCACCGTCAGCGCTGGTCGTCCATGAAAGTGGTCTCCCTGAAAGAAGAGCTTCGAAGTCGTGGCCTGAAAGTTTCGGGCAAGAAGGCGGAGCTCGTGGAGCGCTTGTTGCGAGCGTGATGTTCAGTCTTTGTGGTCTAGACACGCGGTTCGAAGCTGTGCCGTTTGTAGTCTTGTTGCACACGACGACCGAAGCGGGTTGTTTTCGCATGGTTGTTTGCCAGCGGATGTTGGGCAGACTCTTTAACCTGTTGACGCTTTTATTGTAGGCTTTTCAGGGATCAAACAAACGCGATTGGAAAGAGCCGCGAGAATAGTCTGTCATGATGACAGACACATTTACCGAGCAGGGCAACGTTTTGGCCGGCCGGAGCTTCTTGATATGGATGTTCATGTAGCAAGGGGTTTTACTAATTGAATACCACATGAGATGGTGGTAGTGGTTGTTTGTATGTTCCGCGGGTTTTCCGCAATCAGTTGTGTTCAAGAGAGCACGTACATTCAATGACGTCGTCCAGGCGCGAATTTACAGTGAGGGGGGGGGGGGGGAAGGGCTGAGCCTCTCGGACAACCATATGAACGTTGCTAAGTTCGCACATTGCAGACGTTCGGTATGCCGTGGATTTTCCTGTTTTCATCCCTCGACATATATATGTCCACCATTGATCTTCGTCGATCCACAAAGAACGATGATCTTCGCTAGGTAGGGCGGATACAGCAGTTTACGGCTCGGTGGTAACATCTGTTGTTGCTGTTGTCTCGCTTTAGATGTTCTTTTCTGAGTCTAGTCACTGTACGGCGTGCTCGTGCGGGGTGGTACCACTGTTGCAGCACCATGTAAATGCTCACACTTCAAAACGTTGGCAGTGTAGTTAGTGGCAGTGTTGGCAACGTGACAAGCAGCGTACAACAACAACAGCACACCGAAGCATCCGACAAGTGTTAACGTGTGGATGACTGCAATTCATCATTTGCGAACGCCGCGTGAGACGCTTGATGGCAACAGCAAAAATAAGTACATTCCTTCACTCCATCGTATTGATTAGTGTGTGGAGTTAGCTCTGGAGCTATTGATATGCATGGTGTCATCGTGTCATCGTTCACCGGCTCCACCAATTGTTGTAGCGAATGACCCACGTTCCAATCAATGCTGAGCGACGGGGCCCCGTGGGGGTGGGGTGTGTGCGGTGCAATTTCCCTCTCTGCTGTTGCCCTCAATTTCCGACAAGCCTGCTGTGCCGCGTGCTGGTCAAGTGTGCTGGCTCTGTGCTGCAACACCGCGTCTGTAACCACACCACACAAGAGATTGTGTTGTGTTGTTGCTGGGAAGCGTGTGACTGTCCAGAGGACAGACGAAAGGGAGGAAAGCTTGATCCGTCGCAGCATCGCTGCCGCGAAAGACGAGAGGAGCAGCGTAGGACACGTGTTGAAGGATGCTCATGATCCTACGAACGGCCATGGCGGCGGCGGCGCTGCTGGCCGCCGTCGATCAGGCCTCCGGCTTCGTCAGCACCAGGCGTCGCCACCACGGGTCGTCGTCATCGCCTGGAACGAGGTATAGGTTTGCTTCTGGCTTCTGCTGATGGCTCCCTCGTTTCGAAAGGCGGTGGTTGCGATGCATATGCAAGTTGACATACAACCACGACCTGTGACCGCTGCTGCCGCCGCTATCCTGCTGCTGGTCTACACTCACCAGCAGCAGCAACACCAGTACGCATCCTCGACCACACAACGCCCCCCCCCCCGCCTGTGTACCGCCCTTACATCATGTGGATGGATTGTGAATGTGCTTGGAGACGAAATGCATTAAAGACGGGAGGTGCACAACCTGGACGTTTTACAATACACCTCATGCGATGCGAGACATGCGTCCAGCCTCTTCTACAGCAGTAGACGTGCAGCACTACCGTAGTGCAGTCCTCGACGGTTGCAGTAAGCACCGCAGCCTTGGTGTTCACCACGGTGCCACAGTGCCTGTGAATGCTGCTCGGTTTTGTATGTACGACTTGACGCTGCTAATGCTACTGCTGCTGCTGCTGCTGCTGCTGCTTGCTGCCGCTTTCGGTGCCGAAGGCACTCGTACAACGGCGGGGACGGTTTGGCCTCTGGAGGAGCACCTCTCACCTCCACTACCGTCGACCACCTGACCCTATCCCGAGAGTCCCCCTACCCCTTCGAGAGGTGAGAGGGCCTTCAGCTGCTCATCTTGGGTGTGAAGGCAACGTACACGGCAGTGCTATTTGGCCTGTGCAACCTTTTCTTGAATGATCGCTCATGTACGGTGCATACCGTACATCGAGGTGATTCAATATAAAGATATCACACACCCTGGACCGATTTTCCGAGCTCGACTGCGACGAGGATGCATAATCCAAAGGGTGCGTTTTCGGAAAGCTCACGGCGAGGGGTTCCGACGTCGTCCTTTCGGCGCTGCTGTGGAGTAAATGAGATCCGAAAATTGGCCCAGGGTGTGTGGTATCTTGGGCAGCTTTCCCTAGTGTACACATGCAATGTCTATTTGCAAACCATTCCAGTGCACCGAAGGGGAAAGGCGGGGCAACAAAACACAAAAGAAAATGAAAAAAGCTCCTTTATGACCTTCCTCTTGTGTGACCCTGGCTAATACGTCCGGTATTTACGCAGAAAGGCCTGTAAACCGGCGCCAGAATAGATGGGACGAACACACCACTCCTCACACACCATTCCGGGAACGAGCCACTGCTGTCGTATCTTGTACTTGTATGCGGGGTATCCATGAAAGAAAGCGTCGTCGCCGGTTAGATTACAACCCGCAGGAAAAAGGACGTGGCTAGCCCGTTCTCTGTAACCTCGAGCTCTGCATCTCCCTGTACGGTGTGCAGCATATCTTGTTGAATTGTCAAGCGGTCGGTACCCAAACAGAGAACGCAAAGAGAAGACCGCCTTTCGATTGAGCTCGCACGGCTGCGTGACCGTTTCTGGATAATCATTCCACAATCTTCCTCAGCTCTGCAGCCCGGACTGTTCGAGGACTCGTGGCGACGCAGCGTTCCAAGCGATCAAACCGTGGTGGCGGTAATGGAGCAACGGTACAGCCACGACCAGGTGAGGCTCGAACTGTCTGTCTGTCTGTCTGTCTGTCTGTCTTTCTCTCTCTAGACCTCTCTCTCTCTCTCTCTTCAATGCCCGGTCCCCGGCCCTCCTCTCGCACATGCCCTCAACTTGCTGCTGAGAGTTGTGGCTTGTTGCCAATAAAGGTGTCAGCTGTTTTTGCTGTGTGGAACTCGGGCTGTTGTTGCCGTCACGACCTGCTGCAAGTACTTTCTGAAGAGGTTCCAAGAGGGGAGCCCAATGACCATTTTTTGCCCCGCCCCTGGCCTGCCCGAGCTCCGGCTTTACCAAGCCTCGAGAAATATTTTGAGGACCTTACCCATACCAGACCACTGGGACATGCCAGCACGGCACGGGCCTTCGCGCTCGTTGCCCTCCGCCGCAGCCAAAGAGTGATTCGCTTGTGCCGTATCCGCCCCAACACCCGACAGATGAGTTCGCGCCGGTCTCTTTGTCCCGCCCGTCAATGGTGCCACTGAAAAGGAATCTCATTCCATGATTTTCCTGCGCCCATGCCCCCGCCGACTCTTATCGTGCCTCTCCTTCCCTCGTCGTCGTCGTCGTCGTCGCGCAACCGTTACATGCGGCGCAACTCTCCAGGGATGGAGACGCAGCTGGGCGGCTGGAGCTACGCGCGGACGGTGCTGACTAACTTGAGCAAGGGGGCGGGCCGAGAGGGGGAAAGCGGCACGGATGGTGAGAGAGATGCTCGTGACTGGTGATGCCGTCGAGCCTTGCTCCCGGGGGGGGGGGGTACACCGCACACGACCCACTAGACGAAGGCCCGGCCGTTTTTCGCTTCGAGATATGTGGGATTGAAGCCGTGCATGAATAACGTGCTTCCCGGGAGCGAGTTGTACGTTGATGTGTAGAACCGACCACGTTCAAGGCTCAATTTCAGGCAGTTTGTCGACACGGTATGATGATAAAAAGCGATATCGGGCAGATGATGGGATGGTCGAAGGAACGAAAGCGTGGCTGAATCGAGCGTCAGAGCGAGTTCCACATGAATTATGCCATCTGACAGCCTGGTGCTCAGCCTTCACCCAGTATACGAACGCCAGTCTGAGCCAAGTGTGTGGTTTGGTCTCTTGTGATCGGGCCGATGCTGTATTGTCACTGCTGTTGCATTGGCATTTACGTTTGTGTGTCACCTGACCCAGGTTTTCTTGGTGGATTGGTTGACCTCGATTGTGTCTATTTTTGTGCAGTTGAGACCGAAAACGCCTGCTGGTTGTGGTGCCGATCAGGGAGTGGATGGCTCAATCCCGCTACCTCGCTAGTTTCCGGCATTGGTTACACCGGGGCATACCGTAACTCAATTCACCGTGTTTCCGTCGGTGCATCGTCCCGTATTTATCCGTGCGCCACTTCGCCGTTCATGCAACCTGGCGATCGATAAATTTCGTGCGTCTTGAACGCTTCGGGGGGCATGGTGCCGATTGGTCGTTGTCGACCGACCTTGTCGTGTGACTCACGCAAGCGAAACAAACGCATCTCCCACCTTTTGCTGTGTTTTTTTTTTTCATGGATTTTCGACGCTTTTTTGTATCTGTATGAATTGAACGGCAATCGTGTAGAGTCGGGCGACGCCGCCGCTGCCGCAGGGGGCTCCGCCCAATCATCCTCCGGGGGCTCGAGCGGGGGCAAGGGTGCCGACGGTGCCCCAGCCAAGGGAAACAAAGGTGCGGGGGGTGGGGGCGCGGGGTTGGGGATAGGCGGCGGCGGTGGCGATGGTGATGATGACGACGACGACGAGGAGGAGGAGGAGAAGAAGGGGAAGGAGGCGGGAGACGAGGATGGGCTGGACTCGTGGGATTTGTCGGAGTTCGGCGATTCGCAGGATGGCTTGGGCATCGAATTCTCGGAGGCGGGAGTCGGAGAGGACGAGGAGCAGCAGGAGGTACGTACGCCTGTTGGGACGATGCAGCGTACACCTGTGTTTATTTAGGTGGAAGGGTCGAGAGATGTTTGCGTCGTGTGGCAAGACACTGGCATGGTCGCCGCTGCTGACGCTTTGTTCTTCTTTGTTTCTTCGCTCGTATTCGCAAGGAGTTCCACTCCCGGTTTCTAGCGGTTAGTGTGCCAAAGCTTGGTTTGAGTGAACGGAAACGGTCAGCTCCGGGATCCGTCATTTTGTAGACGGTTTCCAGGAAGAGAGAAGTAAAGTGTTGGTCGTTTGCCCGAAGGATTGGGATTGTTTTTTCTCATTCTTTTTTTTTGTTTATGGAGGAGCTCCGTGCTTGTCGCGAAACGTTGTGGTCTTGACACCTTCGACGACCTTCTGGTCCTACTGTTCTTGTCAAAATTTCCCGCCACTTTGGAATTGTTGATGTTTTGTCGTTCCCTTTGGGACATTTGGGTGCGCTGTGTCGTGGCGAGTGTTTTCTGGCTGCACTGACAAGGAAGGTGTTGGAACGGCTGCTTGGTGCTTTTGGGTCTTGGAGGTTCCCTCCGAGGACGGGGAGTGTTCGCAAGTCTTGTGTATGTCTCGCGGTGGTCTGTTCGTGCGACGAAAGTCCAGTTCGCCACCCATCCCCTCTAAATGATAGTAGAGTTCGGCGACCAGTGAGGTAGGACCGTGTAAATGTCGCTGTTTGAAGAAAGCTCGCTGTTTGAAGGAAACTTTCTAGGCACGCGAGATCCGGTTGCATGCGGTTCGTTTTGTTTCATGCCTGCCGATGGCGTGTGTCTCCCCACTGGGTTGGTTGGAATGTGGGGCGTAATAACACAGGAGCATTCGAGGCTAATGGATTGGGTATAGTATGAGGGTTCGTGCCAGAACGGATGTCATTAGTGGATCCACCACAGTAACCAACACGCCAACTTTCGCATGACAATACTCACAGGGGGAGAACGGAGGTTTGAGCGGTGCCAAGGCAGCTGTCGATGGCGGGGACGATGCCCAGGCCGGCCAGGAGCAGGGCGGCGCTCTCCCACAGGTGTGTGATCTCTCAACAATTGCGCTTGGTTCTCGTGCGCTTGACGTTGTGCACAGATAGCGCCGCCGGTGCTCGACCACTTGGCAGTGAAGAACTTCATGCCCAGCATGAAAAAAAGTCTTTAAGCCTGCCGTGGGTTGCATAAGATATCACACCCCCTGGCCCGAATTTCAGAGCTCGATTACTTGACAGGAAGAAACACTGGCTGTGCCGAAAGTATCGGGAGGCGTTGGAACCGTCTCGTGGAGAGCTTTCCGAGAACGTTATGTATCCTCTGATTTCAGCACCCTCTTCGATGTCGAGCAACGATGCTTTGAAAGTAGTTCCGGGGGGGTGTGGTGTCTTGTCTCATGTCATCTGCGGGTTAGGAGCCCCTTGCACGAAAACCCACGTACCGGTAGTGGCCATTGGTAGCCCACAGTTGGAATCAAGTACCCTGGCCTCGGCGCCCAAGCCAGCTTGTAGCCCACAAGAGGAATCAGGAGCCCTGGCCTCGGCGCCCAAGCCAGCTTGTAGCCCACAAGAGGAATCAGGAGCCCTAGCCTCGGCCCTATCTGTATCCCATGCAAAAGGTAGGTACTGGCTCCCTTTTCGGTCGGTCTGAGCAGAAGGGGTTGCGAAACGCGGAGGTGTTGATGTACTGGGTGTGCACGATGATCAACGCCAGGGTATCAGCCTGGCCACCACCACCAACAACAACAAGAGCTCCAGCAGCGGCAGCAACAAGAGAAGAAAATACCAAGAAGAGTTGAGAGCAGTCACGGAGGCCTTTTTTTTTTTTTTTTACGAGTCGGGGTGTGAAGCAGTCGACGATGGAGATTAATTTCTCGAGTAGAAAAGAAGTCGAGAGAAGCCGAACCAGTTTGAGGTTGACAACAACGACAATGGATATGCCCCGTGAAGTACGAAGCATGTATGTAGAAGTGAACACCCACCGCGATGTAATACAACGCATCAGCAGGAGTACGAGGTGGTGTGCGACGGGGACGTGTGCGAGAGGAGGCCGGTGGGCCCCAACCCGGCCCAGACCGTTCCAGCTGTCGACGGCGCCGCCGCAGAGGCTGGCGCTGCTACTGGCGCGGCTTCTGCCGGTGCTGCAGCCTCCTCTGGTGCTGATAATGCTCTCGTGCCGGACGCGGGTGGCGATAGCGATGGTGGCGGCGGAGTGCCTCCCAGTGCTGTCGACCCTGGGGTGGCCCAGTTGGTGAGAACGGACAGGCACTGGTGGCGTTTGTACCCTAAGCTGATGGTGCATGCCGAGGTCACCATCATATCTAGTAACGCGCAATGGAGAAGTTGTTGGGGGCCGGGTGACCTCTTGTGTGTAGAATAGCGTTTCGCGGTAGTGTATCGTGCGCACCGTTCCTTGACTGGAACGTTTCGCCTGGATTTGGTGGTCGGCATGTAGGTGTGTGCCTTGGTCGCTTGTGGGTGTGCGAGTGGGTGTGCTCTGCCATGTGTTCCCTAAGGCTTTGTTTTTGCGTTTTCCATCTGTTGGCTCAACCTTAACCTGTGTCAAGGACTCCCTCGAGTGTTTCTTGTCTTCGACCAAATGAGATTTTCATCAACGGTACTTGAACAAAAATCGCATCCAACACCTTGTCGACGTGTATTTGTGTGTCTCTTGCGCACACTCTTTTTTGCCCCCTGCGTACCAACCCGATGCTTGCTTGCCATCTTCTTGCATGTGTTGTCTGCGGATAAATGTCATCATCATGACAACTTCGTCTTATTTCACTTGCTTTTTGCCACAGGTTTCAATGGGCTGGGAGGCGGAGGAGTCGACTGCCGCGCTTGAGGCGTCCGGGGGAGACGTCGTGGCAGCCGCTGAGGCTCTCGCCGCCCAGGAGGAAGAGGACCTGGAGAGGTGCGTATTTCCAGGGAGAATAATTTGGGTCGTCGGCCCACAGAAGTATCTCTACCCTGCACCTACGAGAAAAATATGAGACTGCTGCGGGCCGCCGTACGAAGCAACACAGCGAACAATCGCCGTGCGTACCGTACTGAACGTTCGGAGGTGTAACGTAGGTTACCAGCTGCAGCATCTTCACATATTTCCATTCTCACACGCGTGTGATGGTCGCCGTGCGCCAATATGAATGCAGCCAGTGTAGATATTAACTTTTGTTCATTACGTTATTCACTTTTCACACGAGTGTGGGATGGCAGCGTATGAGATATTAACTTTTATTCATTACGTTATTCACTTTTGACACGAGCGTGTGATGGCAGCGTATGAATGTATTCACTGTTTTTTTTTTTTTCTTCTTGATTTTCGATGTGCGCTGTCCAACGCTGTGATGGATGCTGCAGGTACGAGGAAGGGCTGGCCGACCTGCAGCAGCGAGGGTGGGACTCCGACGTGGCCATGTCCGCCATGAGAGAGGCCGGGGGCAACAGCACGGCGGCCCTGCACGCCCTCGAGGAGGAGGACAGGCGAGTCTCCCGGCCGGGAGTTGCGTGTTTCGCCGAGGGCTTGTACTCGGCATTTAACGTGTTTTGATTGACGTTGCCCCTGCTGGCTGCTTCGTTTTGGCTTGTTCGGTCAACTACCTCGTCCGCCTAGGGATGATGCGTCGAACTGCTGTGGCCGCATGCTTGGTTTCTCCCACCAACACCCGTCGTGCAAGGATGATAGCCAGCTCCTGGTTCATCCCTGTGAAACGTAGGCTGGGTCGGGGAACACCCGGCAAGTCGCTTCCTGCCGGCGTTGTAGAGATGCGAGGTCAATGGTCTACCGACAACAGCGGCATTCGATTGCATGGTACCGATGTCTCGGTCGGTCGCGAACAGGGTGCTGTCGATGCAGTTCGAGCAGAGCATCGAGGAGATGGTTGAGCACGGCTGGGACGAAGAGGTAGCGCGCAAGGCGCTCTTGATGCAGTGGCAGAAGGACATCGAGGGCAAAGGCGGCAGCCGCAAGGACCAGAAGCAGTTCGAGAAGACCGTCCAGGTGCAAGCAACCACGATAGGCGGATGTTGATTGCGACCGGATGGATGGCTTGACTGGTGCAAAAACCAACAGCTCCATAGACAAACGCCTTGTTGGCGTCGGATACAACTCCGTTGCCACGATGGCCGACGATTGATGGCGACGCGATAGATAGCTCGACTGATGCAACCACCAGCGACACAGACGAACCATGCCCTGTGGCGGACGCATATTTCGTTGATGTTTTGTTGGTAGTGGTGAGGTGGAAGTTGTTGGTGTTGTGGCCCGCCGTGTTGTGGAGCTGGCGACCAGGTTGCATGCCTGAATGCTGAATGCGGCGATTGCCCAAGAGCCAACCACATCGTGTCCTCTTGCGAAAGCAGGGTGGGAAATCTGGACCGCTCTCTGTGAAAAACTTGCCGAGCTGTTGATTTTGACCGCATTCGCTCGACGAACTTGGCGCGAGAGGACCTCAACTCATGCCATGGTAGCCTATTGGCTTCGGTGTGTGCTAAGGTTGTGCTCTCTCCCGACGTTGTCTTCACTTAGGGAGTGCACCAGAAGGGTGTAAAGGAGGGCAAGGCTAGCACCACCAAGAAGAGCGAACCCCCCGCGCCCACGCCAGCAAAGCGCGAGGACGTGGTGTTCGAGGTCACGGACAAGACGCTGCAGAAGGTGCGACCCCCCCTACCCCACCGTTTCCCTTGGAATTACTCCATCTCAGTACCGCCTGGTCCTCGTACGATGGCTTGTTTTTTTCTCCAGTGACGTAATATATTCACAGACGATACCTTGTATCCTTCTATTTAGTCTCCCGAGCGACGGCCGTTGGTGCTTCTTCTTCCAGGTGGTTCTCGAGTCTCCCGTGCCCGTCATCCTGGACGTCTACGCCGAGTGGTGCGGCCCTTGCAAGCAGCTCACGCCGGCTCTCGAAGAGGTTCGTGGCACAAATGTGTAGTGGACAACCTTTCGTACTTGGCCAGGTAGCGCGCCCAGCTCATATTTCACGGCTGTCGATTTTGAGTGTAGTGGCTCTATGAAAACAAATGGTTGTCAATCGGTGTGTTTTCTTCCTTCGACCCAACGCTTGTTTCTCGACCTCAAAGCAATTATAGCTTTCATCAACGTCTTGTAGCTTTCATCAACGTTGTTTTTCACCGACTCCGATTTCTCCAAGTGTTTCACCTACGTTTGACACTACTCAGGCACTTTCCATGGCCACTCTTGGTGTTAAATTGGAGATTATGCCGTTCGTGCGGTGTTCTTGTTCCCACCACTCGCTGTGTCGGTGTGAATGTGTCGTTGCACGACAGCGTTGGTGTTGATTCTTTCCTTATTGCATTCAAACGCCACACCAAGATAAACTATGGTATGCACTATGTATTGAACACGGATGTGACGAGAAACAAGAGCTTGGCCGGAAACAATTCAAACGTCCAATTATAAGGAGTGTCTAAATAAAACAATTGTCACTTGCGAAAAGGCGGCCATGAGATCTGGAGGCATGTTCCGGGTGGCTAAGGTGGACGCCGAGAAGCAAAGGAGCATCGCGGAAGTGCTGGGCATCCACGCCTTCCCCTCCGTGTTCGGCATGAAAGACGGCATTATCTTGGACAACTTCGTCGGGGGGCTTGCGCAGGACGAGGTATGTAGGTGTGTGGTCGGTTCACCATACGTGATCCCCCAGGCGCGGCCTCCCCAGGGGTGTAAGGAGAGGGGGAGGCCGTGCCACCAAGCCCCCTTGGAGAGGGTAGGTAGTGGTCTCCAGATATGCAGCTGTTTTAGATATTTTGCTAGGTAGGAAGAGTCGTTCGTGACGATGCATCTAGCGGGGGGTGACGACGATGATGATGATGACGTCATGAATGCTGCCTGGCGTGCCTCGGGAGTTGGTTGTCGAAGGGGGGTGGTGGTTGTCGAAGGGAGGTGGGTTCGTGAGACATGCTACTCTTCGCGAGACGTGGCTCCAACATTGAAAGACTTTGGAGGAATGTGGACGTTGATTGGAGAGAGAATGAGCTTTGGAAGTGAATTGGTGGTCTGCTTCGCTTGGCGTGATATGACACCTGCGTTGTGCCCTGTACACGTCAAGTCCTGCCTCGAGAACGCGTAACACGTACATAAGTATGCTTCCAACCTTCCGCATGGATGCGACGATGTATTGTAGCGTTGACCGCTTTGTGCGTATATGAATATTTTTTTCCCGACCCTTGAGAGACTAGCAGCAGTTATTTAGTGGGATCAAAGTCACCTTGCACATGCTGCACATATGGCGATGGTGGAGGCGGGTCCGTTACCCTGTCGCTCCTCCTAGCCCTGAACAGCTTGTGTTGTTCTTGGCGGCGGCTTCAGATTTTGCTAACGGATAACTGCTGGCTCAACAACCGCCCTTTTGTATCCAACCCTTGATTGAATGAAATCTTCTGGTTCAGATGCAATCCTTCATGATGGGCGTGGTGATGGGCATGCCGCCGCCCAAGGACCAGGCGCTGCGGGAACACCAGAAAAGCCAGGCGGAGCTGAGGGGCATCAGCCGGAAGTTGGCTCACGTGGCAGGTTAGTTGTGCCTCCCTGCCAGCGAATTCCTCGCAGCCAGCCCCTGTACTTCTAGAAAAAGGTTGCATGTCTTTTTCAGCCCCCTATTTCCACGCGATACGTGTACCGCGTTGTGCGTGATTTTACGCCACGGGTGTCAGACGGTGTGTTCTCAGGCCGACGGGATTGCTTGCGGTTCATCCAGAACAGGATGGCTTGCTATGTGGGGTATGTTTGATGGTGGTGGTGTTGCTTCTATGCAACAAGAACCTCACCCGGCGAACGCCGACAGCACCCTGGCTTCGTCCTTTTTTAGTGCTGATGATGCCGAGGGTTCCGTAGTTTCGAACCGTGTCCGACACACACACACACACACAACCTTCGCTTTATCGATATCAGTACCTCTCCCTGCCGGGGTTGTAGAATCAGGCGGTTGGGCTTCCCTCTGGCCATGAAGGGGTGGGGCAGTACGCCGCGGCGTGAGGAGAGAGAACCTATTGGCGGCAAGCTGTACAATGCAGTCGCTTTATCCTCGTACTGCCCTATTTTGTAGGGCTGGCCGTGCTGGGTTCCCGCAAGAAGGAGAGCCTCTGCCTCAAGGTCGACAAGGCCCTGGGCGAGACGCTGGAGGGCGAGCTCCCCGAAGGAGGGGGCCCCGCAGCCGAGAACGCCCCCGCCGTGGCCGCCGCCAAGAAGGCCGCCCGCACCGTCATCACCGTGCTCATGTCGGCCTACAAGTTCCCGGAGGTGACGGAAAGCGAAAAGAGGGCGCCGTAGGGGGTGGAAGGTTTTCCGTTGTAGTTCGCTTTGTTTTTGGACGGGCCATGCGTCAAATGTGCGAAAAGGGGGCATGATTTCTTCAAGAAATCGCTCTGACCAAAACGCCGAAACGCAACAATTTCGGGCGCAGGACCCCAAGTACCGGACTCTGTCGACGACAAGCAAGGCGTACGAGGAAGTCCTGGCGCCGCACCCTCCAATGCTGGAGGCCCTGCGCCTAGCTGGGTTCAGGCACAAAGACGGGGATGAGAGCCATCTCACTCTCTTGCACAGGTACTGTACTGTGTAAAAGTGGGGTGTAGTTGTGTCGTGTGGTTGGGGGCGAATGCTGCACCGGATATTAGGGTTATCCGCGATAGTGATTGTTGGATTTTCTGCTGTGTGTGTTGTCTCCCGTAGGTTTCCTTTTTGATTATGTCTCCACAATTTCTGTGTCGTTCATGCAAATGCACTGGCCGTGGTTTCTGTGGGGACGGAGACATCTTGGGCGTTAAATGGTATGTATCTGCTGGAAGGATTTGAGTGAAGGAGTAATGAGCGCAATACAGGCTCGCTTTTGGCCTTGGTTTCGATTATGGTGTTGTTTAGCCATGACCAGCACGCTCCCCCCAACCGCTTCGAGCAGGAACATGGCCGTGCTGGCGTCTGTGCAGGATAGGGTGGAGGTTTGGAACAAGGGCATCAAGATGCCGCAGATCGAAGAAGACAGCGGTGAGAAGTTGTATAGACGTGCCCCGACGATGACGAGGGGAATGCGATCACAGGGTTGGCTTTGCGTGACCTATGTTGGCGGCAAGTGCCTCCTACAGTCGAGCAAGACATCGCAGCCACGATGGCGGTACATTGAGAAGGATACACGGGCTTCCGTGGACTATAGCACAAGATGCTCTATGCACAAAAAACGGTTTCAAGCGTCCCGAGTGCTGCCATCTGTCTTGACACCGGAAACCTGAACAGAGGACGAGTACGACGATTCAGAAGACGAGGAAGACGAGGAAGAGCTCGAGAGGATCAAGCAGGCCAGGGAGCGCTTGGCTACCGTGGCCAAGCTGGAGATCACGGACTCTTCGGGTATGCTTTGTGTATCTATTTCGTGCGGATGCCTTCTAACACGCTCTTGTTCGCCGTTCAGGCCTAACACTGGGGGGTTTGCTGGGAATCCGACCAGGAGAAGAAGCCTGAAATAATTATGTTCCCTTTGTGAAGAGAGTTTCTGTAGTAGCACATACTCGGAAGACTTGTGTTGAAATGACGTCATTTCTTGGAACGTCGGCGCTTGACGCCAATCATCACATCGATCAACCCAGGTTTTTGAGACCATCCTTATCGCTCGCTTTCTCTGCCCTTGAACTGAACACTGACTTCACTGGATTCATTCTATATTCCGATGTATGGGCTACAGTAGTCGCGCTCTCTTGGCGGGTCTGTAAGGTCGAGCGAACAGGCGAAATTGCCTTGTTGGCATGGGCGGCGTGTCCCGACAGCGGAAATGCACGCTCGCTAGCGGCAACGGTTTCTGATTTTAGGCCTTTCAACCCCCAGGTTCCCCAGCACACCATGTACAAAAAAAAAGGAAAAAAATCGAGTCGCACCGTGTAGTTTTCCCTCTCCAGCCGCAAATATTGCCCATTTCGTTGACATTGGCATCAATCCAGGCGACGTGTCCTTAATGGGCTGCCTACCTTGTACGTGCCAGATTTAACGCCAGCTTCAACTGGCATTGTGGCCTTGAAACAGTCGCGAAGGGGTGGCTAGCATGGAAACCACAAAAAATATCATCGGTAAGCAATGAATTGGTACAACAAAGCACGATCTTTATCCTGATGTGATAATCATTGGATGAACAGGCGGCCACGAGGCAGTGGTGAAACTGACTATGGAGGCGGATTCGACACTGGGGGAACTGTTCCGAACTCTGCAGGAAGAGGAGGTGCGTGTGTAGGGCTTGCATTCCCCAGGGCATGGAGTGAATCGGGTCGCAATGCTACGACGTTGTAGTTGTAGTGTCGAGTAAGGACCGGCCTTCGCCTTGCCCATTCATGTATTTGTTGAGTCGTCCAATCGGGCAACCACAGAATCGCAAACCGAGGGCAACGATTGGCACAGTGGAGCATGTCTTAGCAAGGAGGCTTATGACTGGAGGCAGGTATGGGTGGCTTTGGTAGAGGCGTTTTCGCGCTGGCTCTATGGCCTCCTGTTTGCATGGTGCAAGTTTGTGCTTTCGTTCTGTAGGAGGTTGTCCACCTCCCCGTTTTTGTTGTTCAGGAGTCGTTTCACTTTGCCTTGACACGACGTTCTCAAGACACGGTGTCGGTGTGGCGGTTCACGTACGTGATGACTATGCACGTATCCATAGGTCGTACCGTTTTCTCCGGATGTGCCGGTATGAACACTTGCGAGAGTATCGCAACTTCCGGAATGAAATCCATCTAGAATGCGCTCGACGCCAGTTGTACCTGCGCGTACCTGCGCCTACCAAGCGCAGTAAGAGCGACACGTGCCCACACTGTTTCATCCCCAACTTTGTCCCTCGCTTTTGCTCGACGAAAGACTGCCAAGCGGATCAGGGTTCGTAGCCCCCATTCACGTCTTTTTGCTTCTGGAGCTTCTCTAATGAGTTTTGGTTTGCGGTCTGGGCCCAGCTATGACTTAAGGTGGACACTTAGGGTGGACGCGTAAAAGGCGTGGCTTCACAACGTTGTAATTTGTCGTTTCCAAGATTGGCGTCTGAGGTACTCGCGAACCTAGCATTTCACCTGTCTTCGGCATGAACTGTTCTGTATCCGGCGACTGGTTGTGTTGATGTGCCTTGCGTTGTTGTGCGAACCTGAAGGGGTTTGGAGCCGACCTCGTGCTCAAGACGGCCTTCCCCAAACGCGAACTGGCCGCGTCCGACGAAAGCTGTCACTCGTCCACCCTGCTGTCCCTCGGCCTTGCGCCATCCGCGAGGTTGGTCGCTACCACGGCCGCTGCGCTCGCCGCCGAACAGGTATTGACCAGCGCTGACTCCACATGACGGGCATGAATTCTGAGGTTGCCTAAGAAGCGCTTGGTAGATAACGCGTGGCAGATCTGCCACGGAGGGCGTGCCACGGAGGGCGCACTGTGTCTCCCTGACAGTTTCATTTGGCTAGATGTCAAGGGTTTTGTTTGTTTGTGTTCGTCGGTGGAGTTGATGTACCGTCACTGCCATCGCAAGTCGGTGTGATTTATCGCGACTGCCGCCGCGCTCGCTAGCAGTGTCTCTGACTCTAATCAGTCGCATCCGCCGCCGCAAACGTCTTGGCGATGATCAGGAGGCAGAGGGGGGCGATGCTGAAGCGGCTGCTGTGCGCAAAGAAGAGTTGAGGGCCAAGATGATGGAGAAAGCGAGGGATGGCAAAAGGTGGCGAGACATATCGCGTAGATGGGGACAGTCATGCCTGCGTCGTGTTCGCTGTTTTGCGTCGTGATCTGTTTCAGGTCCGAGGAAGGTTAAGATAGCTTACGGGTTTGGTGTGACTAGCTGGTCGTTCGCGTTGAGCTGATCGGCGATAAACGTTTCCCTACGGTCCAGCGACGCCGTTCCCCCGATTTGACACCTTCGAAGGATGGGTATGCCATGGCAAGCGTTTGGTCGATACCGGTCGTTTGGGGGAAATGAAATTTTTCACTGTCGTGAATGCGATCGATCACCTCATACCATCTCTTGGGTTGTGTCTTGCATTGAATGCGGTCGCATTGGTTCTGATGGTCGAGCGTTGAGACAGTTGATTGCGTACCTGCATTCACCGATGTATGGTGTGTCGTTTCTGGTCTCGTCGCCAGCAGGAAGGGTATCAAGAAGGCGGGCACTCTGTTCGGCGCAGACGACGGCATTATCGAGGTCAAGAAAGGTACGGGACGATGTGGGTGTTCTCGTGGGTAGTGCTGCTCGGCGTACGCGTGTGGTGGTGTTGCCATATTGTCGGAAGGATTTGTTCCGTTCCCGGTGTTTTCACCAGGGATCATGCGCTCGCCTTCGCCATGGCGCGGCCATCAGCCCGAACTCCATGTGGCACCAAGCCTTGTACCGACGCCGTGACGCTGCAGGCCCTTCTTTTTCACGATTTATACGCCAAGCGTTTGTGCTTCTGTTTTTTCCCTACTTTTCGGATGTGTGGTCGCCGGCAGGAAAACACCAAGAGTACTTCGGCGGAGATTCGACCGTTACCCTGGCGGCTGAAGACAGCGACGACGAAGACGGGGATGAGGGGGACGGAAGTGAGATATTTTTGTGGACCGTCCGCATGATTTGTTTTGGAGATTGTCCGTTCCATTTTTACGGTGCATGAGTGCTACGATGAGGGATCGTGGTGGTTTATTTATTCGGCGTGCTTGTATTGCGTTTTGGTTTCCCCAGCTTGTTTTTGGATTGTCAACGTTACAACAGTCTTTTCGTCCACATTTAAGACATGCTAAGGCTGAGCGAACGCATCACAAACGTTTGGGATCAACTTCTTGTTAGCTCGTTGCACGATCCGTCATTTCCCATTTTGTTTTTTTCGTTCAAGTATCTCTTTTGTCTACTTGCTGAACGAAAACGTCCGTTGGGTTGTGCAGGCGATAACCAGGAGGCGGCCTCTCAGGAGGATGACTTCGGCCAATCGGGGGGAGAGCCGAGTCTATCTGACGACCAAGAAAATGACAATGGAAGCTCATATTCTTCTTCTGAGAACGAAGAGGGGGAGGGAGGGGAGGAGCAAATGACAGATGCAAGTCGAAACGACGACAATGGCGAGGAGGACTATTCTCCTGAATCAGAAGAGGAGTCGGATTTGTCAGATGAACGCTTCTCGGAAGGCGACACGGGAACTAGCGCGACCGAAAGCGAGGGCACGAGAACAGACTTCGATGCCGATGAAGCGTCTTACGCGTCGGGTGAGGGCTCGTACGATGATGCTGCTGCCGGGGTAGGCCAGTATGACAGCAGCTACAGTGACGAAGAAATACGGTTAGAAGACGAGGAGGACATGAGTAGCTACGATGAAGATGCGGACCTTGGCAGCTACGACGAAGATGACTTCGAGTCTTACGACGACGACGAGGACGACCTTGATGACGACTCTGATGGCTCGGAGCGAAGCGCTGACTTGAAAGGGGGCAAGAAAGCGACTCCTAGACGTCCTTAGTTTGTCTAATAGCTCTGTGTAAGGACTTGGGTTTGGTCATGTGATTGGATACCCCACGGCGACGGTGATACTGGCCTTGCCTGCCTCTGAATATACCGCGTTTCCCTGCATGTCAGGGGTAGGAGGTGAGGAACATCGGTGGGGCGAGCTCGCAAAGCTCCTTGTTCAGAGCCACGGCAGAAGAGAGTGCTTTGGGGCGTTGCTTCGTGATTCATCGCCACCCTTTTTCGGGAGTTCGACGGGTTGGCTTTCGGTACGATAATAAATATGGGTTGCACAAGTAATAATAGTCGATTGACTGGGCGGTGAGAGAGAGAAAGAGAAAAAGGTGCCGGTTTTTTTAACCCAAGGTCAACTTCCATATTCCGGCCGGTGGATCTCGATCGCGTAGAAGTTATACAATAGTCAAGCTTTTTGTGACCTTCCCCTTGTGTGACGCTGGCGGATACGTCAGAAACGTACCCCGAAAGGTGGGTAGACTGGCGGCAGGACAGATGGGACATTATCTCATTGATCAGCAGGTTTGCGCGGTCGATGCTGATAATAAAAACACACTAGCGTATGTGGTCCTGTGAACTTTCCAATTTGTCAGCGGGAAAAAGCACGGTCGATGTGTACGCACAATAAGCACACGCGCCTACCGGTTTCGGTATCTGAAGGTCGACGTCCCCAAGGAACATCCATAGAAAGAGACGATCCAAGACCCGCGATCAATCCCCTCTGGAGAGCAAACCCCCTATATAGCCCTGAAGGTCTGACCCATGTCAAAAGTCTCGCCGCTCCAGTGTGTGGTTCGCGCGGTGTGGTTGTGGTGTCCTTGGACCTCAGGGGGACTACTGTAGGTCAGAAAGACCTGCGATCATCATACTGCCCTCCTCTTCACATTACATTTAATATATTTGGGGCCGCATGTCACTTCGTAATGGCGTTGTGAGGGGTTTAATGGAGAGGCGGTCTCCTCAGCACGAACTCGTCAACCGTTTTCAAACCAACGAGGAGCCCTCGTGAGCTTCGGAGTCGTCCCCTCAGTGCGGGCCGATCGACTTCAAGGTTTTTGGGGCTGAAGTGTGATATGATCTTGATTGCAATCCTGCAATGGTCGAAACACGTGGTATACGTTCTTTGCCACAAGGTTTCCTACCCGAGACAAATCGAAACGACCGTGACCCTATTTCCCCACAGATGAAGGGAATGCGTTTGTTGACATAGACCCTGCTTTTGGAAGCGTAGCGTCGGTCCGAACATACCCTTGGTCGTTGCAGATGAGAACGCGCACCGCGTGCACAAGAGCTCACCAGTAGCCACTCTCAGCTGCTCCGCCGCGGTTGTGACGAGTGATACAGATCACACACCAACGGTGACGTACACAAAGGAAATTCACCGGCCAAAACGAACCTGCCTCAGTACCGATGCTAGCGAGTGACCTTCAAAGAATGGGTGAACGTCAAAGAATGAACGTGAAGCGCATTCCCACCGCCGCTGGTCGTCTTCACAGGAACAACATACACAGTGGGAAAGTAGCGGCTGCCTCATAGTAGCTTTGCCACCTGGGGTGTCGGTGCAGTTATTTTCTTACAATCCTCCAAAAAATTGTTGAAACGATCATTTTCGCCTTTGCGCAAAATTCCATTGGGATTTCACCCTCAACGTCAACGAGGGACCGGAACGGCTGAATCCTTTTTGCGAAAAATGTTGTAGCGGTGCAAGAGAAGGGCGAAGGGAAAACTCCGGCAGTGTGGCTTTCTCCTGTCCGAACCCGTCTGGTGCGTCCAGAAATTTTACCCAAAGGTTGAAGCACGTCCGGAAGTTATGGGATGGTAACCAAGCAGTCTCGGTGCTCTCCTGCAACCCAGAAACCCTTCGGTTCGTGGACCAACAACTACCAGGCGTACTTGACATCACGGCACACGGGGGAGAACGAAAGCACCGTCGAGGTGGCCTCGACACGTTACTCAATGTACCAGAAAACCTAGCGAGACCTCAAGACCAACTGAGTGAAGATCCGGTGATTGAGTCCTTCGGCAACCATGACTACCAAGAGAAAATCGCGGGAACACAAGGACCGCTTCGTCATCATGACGCAAGGTGGACGAGGTCAGCTATCGAAACCAGCACATGCCCTTCGAAGGCATCGGCCTACAATACAGTAGTGCACCACAGGAAACAGAGCTACTGTAGGGTTACATCAAACTCAGCTAAACTGTACGCGGAAGTGAAATCCCGCCTTCTCTCTTACTGTGGGCACGGCGGGCAGCAGAAATGCCACACTAGCAAAGGCGACTTCCACCGTACCATGAAGGGGATGCATACACATGAAAAAAACCTCACCGGTGGGTCTCAACTTCACCTGCTCACCACATGACACTCAACCTAAGGTAGAGGCGGGCGAAAGAACAAGGAACGAAGTTCGTTCCTGGAAAAAGAATGCAACAGGGCAGACCATCGACGGAACTCCATTGACACCACTGCGCCAGGATAGAACAGAGAATAAAACATCTTCATCGGGAGACATGAACTGCGAGAGGGCAGTACCCTCAAAACAATTCGCCTTACCACGGGAAACCAATGGTGGACGGAGGGGTGTGGGAGAAACCCGGTGATGGCTAACGCAATGGCCGAAGAACAAGAGCCTGGGGGGTACGTCGGGTGCGTGATAAACGCCTTTACCCCTATACTGGAGTAAGTGGCGAAACAGTTGCAAAACGGACCTGATATTCCCTTTCGTGGTGACCCACACGCATACACGAAGCCACCTGCTTTTCCTCTTTACCTCGCCCACTCTGCTCGCGTAGTCGCTAGGGTCGCTTGGTTTCAAGTCGCTGTCGTCCCATTCCGAGGTGCGGTAGTCAGGGTCGTCCCACCACACGGCGCAGTCCTCGGGGAGCAACGCCACGACATCGTCCTCGCTCCCTGATAGCACGAACAACAGGCTTCAATCAAGTCAACCACGTTCATTCTAGAATTCCCGGAGCCTCCGCGGGCTGAGATGTGTACGCTGACGAACCGAACCACCGCCTACTTCGGATTCTATTGACCGTGTCATTCGTCCGCTTGTTTCATCGTAAGTCGTTTGCCCCGGCATGTTGTCTTTGTCTAGAGCATGCCCCGAACAAAGTAGCTTTCACTTACGGCTGCACCGGGTAGGTCTGGGGAAGAGGCCAAGGTACACGGTATGGTAGACATCTACGAGCATCGTTATTTCCCTGCCACGATTTGTGAAGTATGAAAGCGCTCCTGGTGAGGAAACAAAACAGTCGGTGAGCGTGCAACGGGTGCAGTATATATTACTAGAGTCTCTACTACAGTCGGTCGACGTACTCCCTAACCTCGATATGTTACCGTTTCAGCGGCAGAGCAGACTAGGCTTGTGCGCAATGGATCGCAAAGCACAAAAACAAATACGTGGGAATACTGTGATGGAAATTCTGCAAATCTCAAGGTGACAAGAAGGTTCGAATCTGGAACAAATAATGGAACACCTCGTGAAATCGTCTCTTCGTGTCATGCAATTGCAAAATCTCTTTCGCTACCCTACGCCTCGAGACAAAGAAAAGGAATCTCCGAAGATGTCATGACTGCTATCGGGGATGTGGTCGTCGCTATTAGCGCAAGCCACTAATTGCGCCTGCGTGTGCTTCGTCTGCGAGTTGGGCGGTTGCGCACTCCTCGGCGAAGAATCTTGCGCTCGCTAAGAAAAAACATGTTAGCAAAAGCTCTATGAGCATGCTTGGCGCGGGGGATGCCGGTAACGCGCCAACCATCGTGACCCACAGAGTTGCAACCCAATGTCATTTTGGAATATCCTGCGACGTTAGTTCGAAATGGTTTCGTACACCTGAGGCCCCTGTAAATGTATAATGCTTTCCGCCCGACGTAGCGGTGCGGGTGTGGCGAAGGGAAACCGTTTCCTCGTAACGTCGACTGAAACCGGTCGGGGGAGAGATATGGCTTCTTCCGCGTCGCGATTCACGGCCGCTCTCCAGTAGCGCTGGAACGCGGCACAAGTTCGCCGTTGCACTCAGCGCTGCGCCCCATTTTAGGAGGGGGTTCTCAGGACGAATTTCTCGCGGGACCGGCGACTGACCGGATCGCTATCGGGATACTAATGAATCTCGGGAGCGGAGCGACGCATCGCGCCGCGTTTGAAGGTAGGGTCCAGCGTCCCCATCGAATCGAAAAGAAGTGCAAGGTGGTTCCCCACAATGTACAGTCGTAGGCCGATGGCCGTGAATGCGACGACAAAGCACAGAACGGGATGGAACCCCATAGGCCGCTGGCTGCCTCAACAAGATCAAATCTTGCATGACACGATCCGCACGGAGAACGAGGATATATCATCGAAATACTCGTGTATATTGTATGGTACTGCGCCAAGATCCGAGCACACTCAAGGCCACCTGTTGCTGCTGCCCGGACCACCACGGTAAACTGGTGTAGAGGCGAGTGTCACTAAGTACACAGGTGTGAATGTCCTCAACTGTGTTGTACTAGATACCGTCCAGCTTGTTTGCTCGGGGGGGGCGTTGCTTCTTTGACCAGTTAGGATCAGTATCGTACCTAGCAGCAGGCTACATGCGTGCATGGATATCAGACGACAATGGAAAGCCTAGGTATTCAACATTAGAAGCTTCTCGACAACGCCGGTGGGTCCATACGAAGGCATGGCAGCTTGGCCGACATATGATCGGGTGTTGCGAATAAATATAATGCCTCCTTCCAGCTGTGTTGAATTTGGAGAGGTCCCCTGCGCGTCTAAAGAGCCTGCACACAATACACATGCCCGCCAGCGCAGAGAACCCGTTCAGCACAGAGAGGCAGAATCAATGCTCGGAGTGATCGCAACGCGAACGAAAGATGGACGGATGGTCTCAAGCATTCACTGCTGTTTCGCATTCTCTCCGGCATCATCCCAAAACTTGATCGAGCCGTCGACTCTTGAAGGAGAAATATTTTGGCTGATGGGATTCCACCATCTCTACTATAACTCAAACCGTCTCGGTCAGGTAGCCATCTTACTACCGACATTCTCCAGAAACGTCGAAGAAAGTGGTTGGTTCGTTTAAGTGGAGATGAAGCTGGAGTTGACAGTAGACGAGTGAAGGCAACGGCTTCAGGAGCTCCTTCTCGCATAAAAATGTACGAAAATCAAGACAGAAGGAAGGCGGACAGACCAACAAACTACCACTGTGTGGCTTCCCTTTTGTGCGACCCCGGCCGATGTGTCCAAACATACCTATACGCTCATACTGGAAAAATCACCCAAACGCGATCCGTGGCATCAGAAACCTGCCAGGGACCAGGCCAAGCCATTCTTGTCATGTTCTTGCTACGCAACAACTCACCGTCGAAGTAGCTCCCGATGAACCAAGTGGAGAACAGATGTGTTAGCTGCGAAAGCTCCCGCTGGATTGAACCTAGTTAACGAACACCACCGCACGCATGGAGGGAGGGGACACACAGAAGGCTGATACCTTGCAGCCACCAATTCATTCCTCCCAAGAGCGAAGAACATCCATGTCGGAGTGCCACGGGTTATTCATCGCCGTCGCCGATCGGAACATTGTACGGCTGCTACAGAGCCGGTGCCCGGTCTACTTTCCTCCAACCAAGAAGCTCTTGTGTAACAAGCGAGCAACCAACCACTTGTGTAACTGGAAGGGATTTTTTGTGCCCCCTGAATCATGTGGTTTGATCGGCAACAAGAAACCAGGCTTGACATGGGGTGGACACCGGGCACTAACGACGACGATACGCTAGTGTACGCATAGAACACCCCAAAGTACCAACCACCAACAGTCAGACTCGCTACACGCGAGAGAGTCAAACGCAAGTTCTCACCGGAGAGATTGTTCCCGCTGACGTCTAGTTTCCTTAGCGCCGTCAGTTTGCCCAACTCTGGAGGGATGGGGCCTGAGGGATTTGGCGGCAGCGCAAAATCCGAAAAAAAGGATGTCACGCTTCTGCCATTCGAAAGCACTAACATGCTGCAATCATTCTGTTGCTAAACGAGATAAGAATAAATTTCGCTCCTGTGGTCCTCTGGGTGTACCCCAGGACATTTGTCGTGCATGCCCACCTTCACTACGCGTTCAGGGGCTCAAAACAAAACTCAGTAGCGATTGAGAGATTCGTCTTGCATTTCACGGCCGGGGATGGGCGAGAATTCACGCATGTGCGTCGTCATGCCACCGAAAACAGCGTTTGAAGCCGATCGTGCACGCTACTAAATTCTGGTGTCAATAGTATTCAAGATTATTAGGGTCGAATCTAGTAGCGTTTGCTTACAAGGAAAACGAACATCGTTAACAAAATGATTCGGGCAGATGATGTCTGAAGGCGACGGCAGATATCTATTTTTCAATCGCGAACAAAATTGCCACACCAGGGAATCGCGATTCCGTACTTGCAAAACACAACGTATCGTCACACGAACAGTTCATTTCCCAGCACTTTCTGGACTTGGACTCGACCGTACAAACAGCGAAACCCAGCGAATGTCACCGGGATCAGTTGGGAGCACAGAGAAGAACGACGATTGGATAAGCCAGCATCGACCAACACAAAAATAGAGGTGCCGTCTTGAAAGTAGAACCAACAATGATGCTCACCGGTGAGCTTGTTGGTTTGGAGTTCTAGATCCGTTAGCGCCGTTAGCCAACCCAACTCCGGCGGAATAACACCTGGGCAATGTGGTGGTAGCGTTGACCCGAAGGACTAAAACAAGCACAACGTTTGCTACATACTTGGGGCACCAGCGATAGACCGTTTCTGCTGCCGAACGCGGTCAGAATATGGTGGGGTTCAATCTTGTGCATGTCCTCCAGGTATATGTGATGCATGTCGACGTGCATCCCAAATAACCCTTCAGAGTTTTTCACAAATGCGAGAGAATTGTCATGCCTTCTCCTGACCTGTACGCGGTGGTACGGGGAAGGGCGGGGGGTGAGGACCATCGCATCTTCGTGCGTCCAAACGACCGATTAAATGCACTTGTGTACTCCGAAAATGGTTGTGGCGTTGGCATCGAACGCAACCAAGGACGAAGGTCGTCTCAAGGGTGAGTGGTCGAAATCAGCAAGCTTTGCTCAGAAAAATAGTTGGTCACACTGGAACATGGCCGAGGAGCTCAAGAACTTAATTTGTTGCCGTGCGACAGCGACAACGCTTCGTGGGAGCACGCAGATGTTGGCGGGGGGTAACTGTAGCACCACTCACCGCTCAGTTGGTTGTTGTGCACGTGCAGGGTTTGCAGAGCCGTCAGTCCTCCCAGCGCGGACGGAATCGGTCCTAAAGCGTCCATAGCATACGACGACATATGGATTAGCCCGCGACAGTTGGAAAAAGTTTAGCAACATGCAACGCTTTACGCTCGTCGCCCCGGCCTATTTTGAGGTTCCCGGAGCAGCATGCCACCGTTCTTAAGAATCTACGGTAAAATACGAGCCTAAAACTGTCAAGACAAAGAACATCACCCTGGCAATCATTTAAGCAAGCAAGCCGATTCACGTGCTGCTACCGCAGGCACGTGGCAGTCAACGCTCTTCAAACACACACACTCCGATTTGGTTGGTCGAATACCTGCAGCAAATCCATACTGGGCGGAATTTCGTGTATGTTTCCTTCAGAAGCGTACTCGGGACGGGTAGACGCCATGCATTACAACAGTCATCGGTGAATATGTGTGTGGATATCATTACCAATGAATCGTGCTTTCATCCCGTAGAAAATTCGAAAAATAAACAATACGCTATGACTGTAGACGCACCTTTCAGGTTGTTGAATTGTAGTTCCAACGTTGTTACCCGACCTAGACGATCCACGGTAACACGGTCCCAATTTCCAAGAGGGGAAGATTTTCCCCACCCTTTCCTCTTCTGCCAGGCTCCCTTCGCGGCTGCCCATGGCCGTGCTTTCTTCTCCGGCGGCCCGTTCGTTTCGTGGTACACCGCCATAAGAACGGCGCGGTCCGTGCTGGCACTCCCCACCGGTGGCCCCGGGATCGGTGCAACCACGGCCGGTCCTGCGCCCTTTCCCGATGGAAGCGGGGACCGAGCGTCTTCTTCAACAAGAGTGTCGTCTCCCGTTGCTCCACCAGGCAGGAGTGCTTTCTCCGAAGCTAGCAGGATCTGAATGATTTTGTCTTTGCTCGCGCAGCTCGTCACGTCCTCATCTACCTCCATGGCCAGCTCCATCAGGCTGTGCATCGTCTTTTCCTTAAAGCATCGCCTTCACGGCGGCGTTCCCAACATCAGGGTACAAGCGACGCAGCTCTGGCTCGACCTCTGCAAAGGGCACCAAAAGCTGGGAGGAGACGGCTGTCTAGCGCGGGGACGACCGGCACGTTGTCCGGCGGGAGCACGCACACGCACGATGCGAGGTTCAGCAGGAACGACAAGACCTTCCTGCCTTCGGCCGTGCCAGCACGCGAAGGATCAGCCCAGGTCGTAGCAAAGTGATTCACGATGTTTTCTAGTGACCCTTTTACCGTACCCTGCTTGGTCGCACTCGGAGAACCAGCCTGACGGCGAGCAGCGCGGTGGGGGCGGGTATGTTGTTGGTCATAATTTCTTCAAGCCACGTTGCCTTTGGCAAGCATCGCGCGTCTTGGCGGACCGCCTACGCACGCTAGAAAAAGAATAGGGAGGGGGCACGCAGACCCTATCCCCAACCCTAACCCTAACCCTAAAGCACGGATTGAATACTTTATCCCATATGTTCGCTTAATCAATTTTGCTGCGTAGACTACTGGTCTTGGTTGGGACGAATTACTTTTATTCTTCCTACAAAGTCGCCTCCAGAACGTGGTTCGGGTCTTTTCAGGCAATCACCAAACTTTCCACATGCTTGCTTACATGCGCGAACACAACCAAACGCATACTTTGGCTTCTGGCGTCACATCTGTTGTCTGTAGCAACAGACTGTCGTCATCTCTGCTGGGAATCCCGCAACATGGTGCCAGCGGCACAGGCTACAGAAAAAGGTTAAGCTGGATGATCACCCGGTCATGCCCTCCCGGAATCTGATGTTTTTGGACCGCGTGACCCCTGCGAAAATGTGTGATACAAGCGGGCGGCTAAGTCCAGACGTTCTGGATTACAACAAACTTGCCTTGCTCTTGTGGAGGTAGCCAGTTGATATGGCTATGGTCGCTGCGGTGAACTTGATGTCGAGAGTGCTTCCTGTCACGAAAGCTGTCCTCGCCTTCCTGCTGGCTTCTTTGAGCTCCTCCAAGTCATCGCCGTTTGCTTCAAACTCCGTGAGTAACATCTGTGCTTCCTCCAGCGGGCCGTTCTGTGCAACAAGACGGGTAAACAAACCGGGACAAGATCCACACGGACGGGTATATATACGTTGACTGCCGTTGCAGGGTCACGGAAATCGATTGAGTAGATAGCATTGCCTCAGATGTGGCGCCCGGAAGAATGCTCCAATGGCCCAAAAACCCAAATGGACGTGCCGGGATTTCGGCGGTGCGCAAACAGTCTCGCCACCGGTGCGCGAACAGTCTCGTCACAGCTGCACAGACGTAGCCTCTACAACCTCATCTCCGCATGGTAAAAACGAGCCCCCCATCACGCACGGCACGAAGTTCAGCCGTAGATAACGACATGATCGCTGTCGACGGGACTGCCATTCGTTATCACGAGAAGATCAACATTGGTTGGCGGGTCATTAGTTGTCGCTGAACAAACATATCCACGTCCACTACCAGGTCAAGGTTGGGTGCATCGATCACGAACGTGTAACTCAAATTGGATGTTTCTACGAGCGGGTCAGCGCTGCTGTATGGTAGGCCGCAACGAGGCTAAATACGTTCAGGTTTGCGCCACCCCTTTCCATTCTGGACGTTGGTCTTTACAGGTTCAAGTAGTTTATGCGTATCAGCAGGGGCCATGCAGGAGGAAGGCCACTCCATGACCTTTTTTTCTTCCGCCCCCCTCTGCTGTTGCGGGAGCGCCATAGATACGCCATCGTTGGTGACTTGCGTGCAGGTCGCTATTAGTTTAACAGCAGTTTTTGAGTGGTTGTTAGACGTAGACACGAAACCAGCAACGGTGTCCAGCCCTCAGGCTACACCACGGCGCAAGGACTAACTATAATAGACCTAACCCTAACCCACACCCCAAGCTTTGTTGGTGGCAGTGGGTAGGCCTAGGTCGCTGTACCGAGCTACTGGAGCTCGCTTCGCGCGCGCCAACGCTGGCGTACGCGCCTCGCGGCTATTGCCAGCGGTGTTGTTAAAAGAAATCGCGAGAAGGATTCTCAGCCGTGAAGTCGAATGCTTGCGTACACACGAAATTGTTTTCTTCGCATCGTGGCCGTGTTGTAGTACAGCAGTCCTATTTGTCAAGATCAACAACCTCGTGTGAGACTTCACGCAAGGTGCCACACTCGGTTGCGGTGCTTGATTCTGTCAACAACACTTGCGCGGAGATCGGGGAGATTGCGCCGAGGCGCGGGGCATCTGAGTAAAGCTCCAAGTCAGGACCAACCGCAACCACATCAGACTTCCTGTTGCTCAAACAAAGGGGGGTGTTTCTCCAGAGACCTTGGGTGCTATTCATCGCACGTGTCGCACAACTTTGTAGCACTCTCGCAGACACTTTTACACCGCCGCCAACACCACGCCGTTCGAATACATATGTTATCAGGCCAATTTTCAAGAGTATTCTACATGTTCACACACACCCGACCAGGACCATGCTCAGGCTCACTCGCCTATTGGAGATTATGCTGTTCAACAAGAGCTGTTGCAGCATCTGCCTTTCCCTGCTGCTTCGTCCGGCGCGATTTGTCCCGAGCCTTGAAGACGACGTCGCCTCTGACCACTCGAGGAGCGAAGTAGTGGTGGTCTTCAGGGTGGTCGCCACATCAATGGCAACATGTCTGTCTGTGTTTCCGTGTACGCGTTGTGGTCGGATATATCTCGCACAATATTACAAGATGAAAGCACCGCTTTCCACCACATCCTTGCTTGAGGCAAGTCTCGCTTTGCCGGGTGTGGTGACACAACCCAGCGTACCGACCTAAGCCGGACATCTTACCTAATTAATCACGCAGCACCGACCATCAACTTGGTGCATAAGACCCATGTTTATGGTCGCCAAATCTTTGAAAAAAAACTTGGAATGTTGTCAAACATTTGCGCGCGAATTGTTGTTGTTGTTGTTGTTGTTGTTGTTGTCTTCACATTAAAAACCGTTCCGATCTCTCTCTACCCAGTACCTTCGTATGTCCGTACTGATCCAACACTCGACGCGGTCGATTCCCGTGGTCACAGGTTAACTTACCCTAAAAAGGTACACTCAAATAAACTGGCCCCGAGGGGTCCGCAAGTCAATAGAAATCAACGACAGATATTCTGGGATCCTCCACTCCCTCTTCACGCTATGCGGGGTATCAACTGAGATTAGCAGTCACTATCTATCATGGGCCGGAGAGAAAGAGGCACACGCCCTTGGTTTAATCTTGGTTTTTTGCGAACACTCGGGCTAATGTAATAGTTATCCCGGTTCTTGCCTTGTTTCCCATAGAGTTGTCTTCTTGTCCCGGAGCGGTGTGGCCTTCCATCTCTGGACTCTCTCCTTTCCTCTCTCTGGGGCATACCCCCACGGCGTGCGGTCACTCCGCCACCCTCACCGTGCTCTCTGCTGCTGCATAACCCCGGTGTCCAAGCCGGGGCGTTAGGATCCAGCCTCATTTTGCAGCTACCAAAGCTGGCGGTTCACGAGCTACCCCGATCTCACGACAGCAGTAACTCCCAACCGCCAAACTCAGGATCCCCCTCTCAACAGTGCTAGGGACCGTATATCCGTCTTTGCTGGGTGGTCTTTCGAAAGATACATCCACTTTATCTTTATCGTGTGGTTTTCTCGAAATGCATCGCACGTGCGGCACGAATCGTGGTCTACTGGTACCAAACGATTTGGGACAGACAAACCACAAATGCGTCATGGAAACTGAATGTAACGAGCTCGCAAAGGGCTCCCCACAACCCTTGATGCACTGAGCTGATGCTGTGCCCGCCAATATGTGGCGATAGCGCTCCGGGCGTGCGAGAAAAAATGTTCTCGGTGTCAAAAAGAGACCAAAACGTACGTGCGTCAGCGCTTCCCAACGGCAAAAAGTCGGCCGCTTGAGAGGACACGTGAGTACAAAACTTTCCAGCTCTCGTCCTCTATACCATCGATTCATGTTTTGTCTTCTTGGGTGTCTTCTCCGTCAACGACTCTCATCCGGTTGTGCGTGGGTTGGCAGTGGCCGCGCTCAGCCGGCAGGGAGGCACATCGTTGTGCGGGCAAAGTTGTGGACACAACGTTTTTTTCGGTCTATTTTTCACTTGAGTATAGAGCCCTTGTTCCTCCGTCCCAAAAATGACTTTTTCAACACATCGCGTTCACAGCAACGCGCCTCCCTACCTGTTGAGTGAGTCCACTGCTGAACCACGCACACCCGGATGAGAGCCGTTGATGGAGAAGACACCCAAGAAAACAAAACATGAATCGATGGTCTAGAGGACGAGAGCTGGATAGTTTTGTACTCACCTCTCCTCTCAAGCAGCCGACTTTCTGCCGTTCGGAGACACAAACCACGCTTTCTCCGTGCCCTCCAAACCACCCCTGTCTGTTTGTTTTTTTGTGCACGCTTGACGAGCTTCCGCCATGTATCAGCCGGCAAAACATTGACACGGTGACTCTAGGGTTGTCCGGATCCCTCTATGAGCTTGCTACGTTGAGTGTGCGCTGCGCAGTGGTTGGTGTTTAGGACGGAAGGGGCGGTCGTCTACTAATCCCGCCGCTCTTGGGAAACATTTTTGCGACCTGCCCCATTTCAAAACGTGTGAGAATATTTTGCCGAAGATTTTCTCCCATAAACAGTGAAACAAAATCTTTGTCCGCAAATGTTTGAAAATATAAACCTCCATTGTTGTGACGCTGCCTCTCCTCTCCGTTGTTTTGCGGAGCAATTGGCTAGATAGAAGAGCAGACAGCAGTCGGACCTCTGAATATTAAAAACTGCGGCGAATGTAGAAAACCAGCCCTGGTATACCCCTATGCAGCAATGGCCGTGAGTGGTTCAGCGGCGGCAAACTCGTAACCCTCTGATGTTTGAGATGTGAACAACGCGCAGCACACCAGAACTGATGGGATTGTTTCTTCACAGACGATGTCCAGAATTTCTTACATGATTAGACCCATGTTTATGGTCGCCAAATCTTCGCCAAAACGCAGCACTTTGCACACAGAAAGAAAAATAAATGCAATAATGCGGCGTAATAACCCACCAACCCCGGGGACACGCCCAATACATCCCCGTGCGTCAGATGTGTCGCCACTTTCCACTTTTCTCATTGGGGCTTCGTTTGGGCGGGTGGGGAGTTCTAAGCTCACCAGAGGTCGCTTGTGCCCTGTGCCCTACACCAGACAGAGGAAACAAACAAGACATGTCCATGCACAGCGCTTGTGGAGGAAACCCGAGACAGGCAGGTCGTCGAAAGCGGCGGGCAGCATCTGCTGCTGTCAAGGAGAGGCCGCTTCTGTTTTTCACGTGAGTCCGCTGCCCGTACAAAATCGGGCAAGGTTTCCCGTTTCTCCTCAAACCTCAAACCAACATCGTCATCCCCAACACCTTCGTCGTGGAATAGCTGTGGTTTGGGGTGCCACACACCAGACCTTCTGAAAACCTCTTCGCAGCCGAGAGCTTCTGCTTCTGTTGCGGCGTGCGAGTTCGTAGATGTACGAGTTGGACCTGCGATGGCAAAGGAGCGAGCGACCGAGAGAGACAAGGGAAGAAGGGAAGGAAACCAAGCGGTGCTTTTCTGCAGAGCGGCGGAACACGGAATTCCGTTACTTCGATACAAAATGAAAAGCGCCACCTAAAGTCCCTGTATATTTCCAAAGAAACACCCGCAGCATCTACTGCTGTTGAGGAGCACAGAGGGAGCGCTGGGGTGTGCAGATATCGTGTTGCTCTTGATCGCCTGGGTCCCGTTTTATATCGAGAGCGGTCTCGTCCAACCCGGCCCCAAAACCAACTCCACATGGTGTGTAGACATTATTTAGTACAACACACTGCTATACTCTTCAGGCCCCATCTCTCAGGAAAGGGTGTTTGGTGCCACGAGGTCGTCGGGCTCACCACCCGGGCTACGAAAAGTGACTGACGGGTGAGTTGCCCGGAGCAAAGCCGCTGGGAAAGTGGTGCGTAGGGTAGAGCGAGAGCATGCCGGAGGCGCACACGCCGCAAAGCCGCACGCAGGTATTGTTGGAAATTTACCATCGCCGACTTTTGGTATCTATGCATAAAAATAAGAGCACAACACATACCGCAGACAACCGTGATGAGTTCCAGACACAACGTGGTGCTGGTGAACAACAACTCCGGATTTTTTTCCAAGCAACTTCCTCACTGCTGTTGATGGTACACTTCGCTCTCTACGTTTTCCGAGCTCGCAGAGACGGGCGCTGGTCTCAGGCGCACTCGGCGTTGTCCTCCTTTCTGTGCGGAGAGACCGTACCGGTGCATACATTTTTGCACCAGCAGCATTTTGAAGATGAGACTTTCCGCACGACAATCAACAATCAGAAAAGATTACCGCTTTATCGCTCGGACGTTTGCCTAAAAGCCTGCCCTGTTGGTCTCCGCCCTGGCCCTCTAGGGACTACGGACTACATACCAAGCAACATCAGCACCAGTTTCACCGCGACTGCCGAGCAGCAGCAGTGATGACCGATACCACAGATACTGCCGCTACGTATCGTTCCGCACCGGTGATTTCCGCGTATCAGCCCTCGGTTTTACCTCACCGCTGTTATTACCGCAAAGTAACGGGGACAAGTTTGAATCGTCCCCAGGGTCTCGCCGCAGAAGATCGGTGCGGTTAATAATAAAGGTTATGGTTTGGTGCTACTTCTTAGGTGTAGGAAGCAGTAAGAAATGGACATGTCGTCCGCACAAAGTATTTGCCATGTCCAACTTAACATGTAACTGCCCTCCTCTTTTCTTCCTATCTCCCCCCTCCTCTCTCTCTTTCTCGCTTTGCTTCCACCGTGATTGGCGCCTCTCAAGACTGATATCGATCGTTGCACGAGGTGGCTGGGCAACAGAGGAAGGCGTTCGGACCGCTGCAGGAAGTGATGGCGTGGCTGGAGGTAGCAACCGTGGCGATTCCGGTGTCGCCGGAACCTACGGTAGTGTAGGTGAAGCTACGCCGGGTGCCGATGTTTTCTTCCTCGGCGTTGCTGCTGTTGGTGATGCTGAAGATGCGTCTGCGGGGGTTCGGGGCGGGGATTATGCTAGCCACGCGGCCGCTGACGGTCGCGTTGACCACGGTGTCGGCGAGCGTATGGATGCCGCGGGAGGAGACGGGCCGCACCTGCAAACGAAGCAAGAGAGCGCGCCGCTGCAATCGTTGAGGGGAAGGCGGGCGAGGGGCGGAGGAGAGGGAGGGCGCGAGCAGAAGGAAGGGAGGTTATACGAGAGCGAAAACCACGCTCGGCATCTCCCGGAGATCACGGTGGGGACGGTGGGCGAGTCGTTCGACGTCCGGGAAAACGGGGCGAGTGCGGGGCCGCAGGAGCAGGTCAGTTGTTTCTTGTCCCGTCTCAACCTTTGCTGCTATTAGGCGTAATGCAGGTTCCGCCCTATTCAAACTGCCATGGAACCGGGATCAAGATCGGGGTACCTAGAGGGGGGCCGGGCTCGAAGTACGTCCGCGTGCCCGACGGACATCTCGACATGAAGCCCATATGGCGGCGTGTGCCCTTGCTACACTCTCCCGTCGGTTTTGTCTGGCTTGATCAATACTTGGCTTGCGTGTTGTGCGGCACCATGGCTGTATCTCGAGCACTTGTACGTGCGCGCGACACCCGCAAGGAAACCCTGAGTATTATCGGAGGTGTGGCTGATCATTCCGGTGCCCATCAGGCACAGCAGCAAACAGGGCTTCGGACTCGACCACCTACGTAGCCGCTTGCCTCGGTCGTAGTGTTGTCTTCCCAATTCCAACTCAAACCTGCGAGAGTGTGTGCTAACCTCTTTTGGTAGTCTTCACCACTGGTTGAAAGCACGTACCTGGTAGTGCTTTAGAATTTAATGTTTGCTCGATTTTTCAGACATGCAACTCCCCCCCTACCCCTCCCCCCCAACCCATCCTCTCGAAAAGAACTGATCGTTGGTCCGTGACTCGTGTATGGTATGTACGTCACAACGAACAACACATACAGCCTTTGACGGAAGGGACGCTGGCGACTCCTCCCGCCTGGGACTCGACGCTATGCATGGCTCACTGGGGCGTACCGGAGCTGCAAGACGAGCCAGACCCGAACGGCTATGTAGTTTACGTCAACGGCAGGTGAGCATTAGCATGAATTTCCGTGCTGTTAAGGACAGCGTAGAGGAAGCACGCTCTCAGTTTTGTCGTGTGCGCCATGGCAGCCGAACCTCGCTGTATGTCTATCCGAGATGTTTTTTTCGGCTGTTTTTTTTTTTTCCAACATCCTGTGGTAGTATAGAGTGCGTCAAGAGCAGGCTAACATCTGCAGCTAGATTGAACATGAGTGTTTACTTCAACAAGCATACACCATACATTTATAATCCCTTCAACTTTACTCCGACCCGCACAGCATCCTGAATGGCGGCCGCAGTGGGCACGGCACGCTTCACTTCGAGGCGGGCATATGGAATGCGTCCTAGGCGGCAGCTGTGGGTTAGGGTTGCGCAAGGCAGGGTTGCAACGCATTGCCCCCGGCGATGGTCGAACGCTGTTGTGTTTTGACCAGTATCATTGCATCCCCACCAAAGTCCCCCTCCCGCCACCCGCCCGTCCACCCGCCTCCTGCGTTCTTGGTGTTTTTTTTTCACAATGTATCGTGGTTTGTGCAATCTCACAGGGAGCAGCTAGGGGGCAACAAGTTCCTCGTGACTGACGGAATCTTCATGGCCAAGGCGCTCGGACGGACGTTCGTCGAGTACCCTGTCAAGGACGCCAGGTGTGTATCGGGGGCGAGGGGGGACAAGGCGAGGGGGCCGGCTACAAGTTTGCTCTCACACCCCAAGTTCTCCCTCCTCTAGGGCTGTTCCTCTACCGCTTGGTTGGCCGATGCGTTGTAGGGTCGTTTGTGTTCCTGCGTCGACGGGTTGCTCTGTGGTGACGTCGTGTGCTGTGCTTTGCCAAGCCGTGTCGTGACGACCTCTGTTGCATGGTGTAGTTGTTGCCAGGTTCTGCTGGTGCGCTATGGGTAGTGTTTTTTTTCTAGAATCCTGATATGATAATAAGATACGTTTTTTGTTTTTCTCGTTCCTGGTTGGCACGTGCGTGCGCACGAGTGGCGAGGAAGACATTTTGATGTGATGAACGTTCGAACGGGGCTGCGACGTCATATGTGCGTCCGTCGTACTCGGTATATTTGGTCTTGTTGCAAGTTGCGCCTTCGGGGTGGGCTCACCAGAGCACAGTACTTTTTAGTAGTGTCATCAAGACGTGATGTGATGCGAGATGAAAGGCAAGTGTTGGCGTGAATCAGGTGCGAGCTACCATCAGTGACTTTTCCAAAGCTCGAACAGCTCACACAGCCGATGCGTTGTGGACTCGGAAGAGCCCAGCGAACCCAAAAAGAAATACTGACAGATCTGTCTTAAAAAGTCTAACTCTGGTTGTTTCTCTCGAAACAGGGTGGCAAAGCTGGAGGATGCGTCCATCGGCCTCGGCGCCTACTGGGATCTCTCAGAGCTGTGCATGTGAGGCGACCAAGACGGTCTTGACGGGTTTGTTGGTCGAGAACGAGGAGTGGACGTTAAAGGTCAATGTACCCTGTATGACCCTGCTGATCGCGAAAACTACTTCCAGCCTGTCTGGCTTTCCTCATGTATGACACCGGCTGGTGCGTCCGGAAGAGTTTTTCCGAAAAAGGTGGAAACATCGACGTCCAGAATATGTGGGATGACAGGTGACAGTGTCTCTCTTCTAAATCTGTTTGGTGTGTATGGGTGGTGAATTTCGATCCCCTTCTATCGGTAAAGGTTCGTCCCCCATTTTGTTTGGCGCAATGAACGGGGAGTATTGCGGGGGAGCAGTCACCGCCGAATCGTCAATGCTGGGCCTGTGCGTTTCGGGGGTTCTTCATGGCGGGCGGGCGGGGGGTGGGGGGCGGGCAACTGCAGTCACTGCCCACATGGCGTCCTTCCGTTGTCTTTGCAGTTTTTTTCAATATCCCGTCCGTCTACTGTGTTGTCGTAGGGGCAGCTGTCCTACGGGGCTAGGCGTAGAGCCCGTCGTGATTTATGCCGTTGCCGACGGCATGCATGGATTCTCCTTGTGCGGTGTCTTCCGCAGACGTGAGTAACTGTTCTATTCGATTGGCGCGTGTATCGAGAGTGTGCCATATGGTGAGGCACGTTTCGGGAAAAGCATGACAAGAACGTGTCCACTGCTGTCGGGCACTGCCCCGTTGCCGGCTCTGGGTTGATTCACACACAGGTACCACCGTATCCTGGACCTGACCAGCTTCCGGAACATGATGGCCGACGGAAGAATACCCCCGGAGGCTTTCACCACCATCAGGTTCGTTTGATGACTCTCTAGCTTTCCCCCGTGCCGTCATATATCCGATGATAACGACGAAGTGGCACTGCGTCAGGTCCTGACTTCAGTCACGAGGAACTTTTGGAGGTCGGGACGCGAGGGTGGAGAAGAACCCCAGCCTTTTGGCGCAAGAAAGCGACGGTGGTCTTGCGTTCTTGTCTTTTTGAGGATAAGGTTTGGATTTTTTTTTTCTTTCTGCGACATGTGTTTCTCTGGCATCAGCGACCTTTTCTCAAGCTTCCTTCTGAGAGGAGTATGCCGGAAGCTCGCCGGTACATTGCCACGCAATGTTCGGAGCTCGCCAAGCATCCGTGGAACTGACGCTATGTCCCGGGGACGTGTTCCGCGAAGAGGTAGCCTGGCGAACCAATGTTCAAACCCGTTACAGTCCGGTTTCCCAAGAAGCGAGAAGATGAGAATGGGCAAGAACGACCCGCATGCTGGTTTCAGGCATACGGATCTCTCACTGTCAGCTTAACTGTAGGTAAAGCTGACCGTGTGGCGCCAGAACCCTACCCATGTTGCGTATTTTGGAGCTTGCGCGGTTTGTTGGTTGAGTTCTGCATCAACTCCACGGAACGTTGCAACCTAGCGGGGAAATGCCCTCTTCAACATGTTTCGCATTCGGTAGGTCGATGCAAACCTCCCTTCTCGTCCACACGTCGCAATCGGTGCAGCGATATACCGTACTGCAGACAACCCATTCACCCGCTACCCACTGTAGCTTCGGAGCTTGAATGCGCCCTTTTTTAGATATTCAGAGCTTGCGCTCTCAACTCCGCTTTTTTATTCAAGTTCAGCTCACAAGGAGAATTTGCAACTACGCATACGCGACAACAAATCGAAGCGTCACTGAACCCTGGCTCTTGTGGACGAGTCTCGCTGGCAAAATCTCCGCCCAACAAGCTGGCCCCCAGCACATGGTGCTGCGTGCAGGAAATGAGAACCACCGGCACACCAACCCATGAGAATACGTTGAGCATGTCATCTTGCGTCAACCGTGGGGTGCCCGAAACTAACGTCCCAATGGGAGCCTTTTGGTGAATATAGCGTGAACATGATAAGTCGTGTTGTTCCACAATCTGGCGCGTAGCACGCGTGCGGTTGAACGACCCCGAATGCACTTTTTCCGGATACGTTGTAGCTGTGTTTTGTGTGAGACATCCCCTGCCCCTTCAGATGTGCACACAACCGACGCGCTCGATTGCGGTGTAGGGCTGGTAAAACGGTGTGGCACGTACTTAAAGTCGCCCGCATTGTTTGTCGTTAGCCGACATTTTTGTGCCGTTTCGCGTCGCCCCGCGCGTTTCACCCTCAGATCTGACACTCACGAGGTGCTCCTCCGCCACGCCACTGACGAAGAGCACATTGTCGACATGTTCAAGGACTCCGACAAGTATCAGGTGTTGATGGCGACGACGATGGGCAAAATTGTTCATTTCTTTCTCATCTCGAGTACATGGCGGGTTCTCTTTACATTGTAATATGGCGACTACGGGAAGTTGAGGGTCAGTGGGGGCTACAGAGGTGGGTGTGAGAGACCCGTTGTCGCCTTGGAGATATCTATTGGGCCTGGAAATTGGACCCCGCGATGGTTTAGTGTCTTTCGCGGCACGGGCGGTACGCTGTCTTTACATTGAGGTACGGCCGTCATGCGGCAATGTGTAGCACAGCACAGCGGTTGGATGCTTTGATACCCCTCGTCTAGGTTTCTTTCACCATCGCAACCCACGTGTTTACCTAGCCGCTGTACAGAATAGACGACTATGGGCACCAGGGCAAAGTTGTGTATTGGGGAATCCCCTCTTGCATCGGATATATAGCTCTGCACGGAATACCCGAGTTTTGCCCGATGAGGAACGAAGAATCGTGCGGAATCGATGGGTCCATTTTATCGGCGTCAACGTTTAGAGTCTTGGCCCTCTCTTGCCGTGACGCTGCTGCTGTTGCAAGCACAGCCACACACGCCGCAATCCGGCGGTTATTTCTGGCCTTCATGCTCTTAAAAGGGAGTTTTTTTGTTTGTTAAAATGTTGCAACGAAGGGTCTGGATGGGTTGTTTTCTCCAGCCTGTGCATCAAGACATCGGGAAAACTGCCGTATAATTTCGGCCTCGCTCCTCGTACCGTGAAATCCCCTTTTCAGGACTATTAACTTGGCGACCAGGTTCTGTTGCTGGGCCCTTTGTACGACACGTCGGGCGCGCCCATCGAGCGATGCCATATGTAGCATCTTTTGTTGCTGTTGCGGTTCTATGGCCATGCTTGTCGGAGTTGGGTGTAGACACGCCTCTACGCAGAATGTGGTGGCCTGCAGCTGATAGCGTGTCTTTCAGTTTCGTCGGGGGGGGGCATCCCTCGAATTTCGGCCCAAGCAAGCTACGTTATGGGGGATCTCGGCCCCTTCCAAGCTTAAAAGCGGTTGTTCACCTATCCCAACCCCGTCCAATCCCGAAGTTTGTCGAAAATATTTTTGGTTAGCGGACCGCAGCCGGTGCTGCCGTTAGTTTTGTTTTCGGAGCTTTGAAACTTTGCGTTTGCTATTTTTGCCCCCCATGCCCCCCCCCCCCCCGCGTCAAGGTGATCGCGATGGAGTCGACGTGGAAAAGCGGCAAAGAACGGGAAGCTCTTCAGTTTCTCAGGCCAAACCCGTTCTTCGTGGGCATCGTCCGAATGCTTCTTGAAGCGCAGAAGGTATGTAGGTCTGGGGTGCGATCGTTGGAGTACGTACGTGAGGGCTTGTCGGGGTGCCCTCGTTGAAATGCCGCTACGCCCGATCGTCAGCACATGAGGAAACGTGAGCAGGGGGCTACTTTCCGTTGTGTCCATGTACGTTGTTGGCAATACTGTGGGGTAGACGGGAAGAAGTCCTTTGCTGTTGTTTTTTTGCGAGAATGACCAATGAGCGGCGTTTCGTCGACCAGGATGGCCGCTGAGCGAGCGATGTAGACGCGCCCTTGACGTTGAGGCGGTTTGATCTTTGCCCGACAGTCAGGAACGCTTCTGAAGTGAGCGCGCATGATTCACCTCTCAGCGGTCACCCGTTTGCAGGATCAAGAGTTGAGCGAGCGAGTGAATGCGTGCTCTTGTGTCGGAGTTCCGAATACGATGTCAGTCCCAAGTCCTTGATGGAAAGCTCTCCGTTGTGCTACGAATTTGAAGTACAACTTTGTTTTGCTGAAAGCAGGATTACTCCCGGCAGCGCATCGCACTGCTGGGGGGGCTTTTCTTTTTCCTTCAAAGGGGTTGACTCTTTGCTACGCCTCCAATACGACCTTTGTCGTGTAAACGCCCGCGAGACCGTTGCCTGCCTCCTAAGCTTTGCCCCCCCCCCTTTTTTTTCTCTCTCCTTTCTGTGCCGCTGCTGCTGCGTGCGGTTATTAATGGATATGCTTGTGCTGCGACCAGGACTGGGAGACTGGGGAATTTGTGGCAGTGCAATGGAGGACAGAGTTGGCCAACGGAGACCTCACCGAGTGCTACAAAGAGGTGAGTTCGAATGACTATAGTTGTGTTCGGGCGGTTGAGGGGGGCAGTACAGCCGCTAGCGTCACGTGCGTGACGCTTCTTGTGTGGAAGAGTGCGGATTGTGGTCCTCCCACGGCCGAGGGCAGACTTTTAGCATTGCGGTGCAGCCGCTTTGTGACGGTTGATGGGAGGATAACCGCGTCATGAACGTACGATGTTTTTTTTTTTGCGTAGTCTACTTGACTACGTGCCATTCGAGGTCAGCCACGGGATCGTCGAACGGCGTTGCCAGTTCCGAACCGGTGTGCTCAAGTCTGTTACGCAGTTGTTCCGAACCGCTCCTTCGCAGAAACTCTCTGGAAAGGAGCGGACGTCGCAACCGTGCCATTTGGCAGCGTCGCGCTAGTTGACACATGATGATATGGTTGAGAGGTCCGCACGTGGCGACCCGTGTTGCAGCGTATGTGCGCATGCCCTGAGTACTTTTGCGGGCGCTTGTCTCGCTCATCACGATGGCTGCCAAGGCACATGCACCGCAGCAAGCCACCTCGTTGGAGCTGAGCTTGTGAAGTTTTTTACAGAGGCGGTATGTAGTAGGGAAGCGCTGTTCTAGCTAGGTAGGACTCCCCAAGGGGATTGTTTTGCATAGCCGCGATTCCCTGGCTGTATTCGGCGCCGACGAGTTACGCCCACGTGTCCACGACGCGAACAATGTCGACCAAAACCCCCCAACTCAGGTGAAGGCTCTCGTCGAGGAGCAAAGGGTGGCCCTCGGGTATGGCACTCACCAGGTGCTGTTCAACACCGACCTGTACGGCAAGACCTCTGGGACGTACAAGGCCTCGGTGAGTAGCGTACATCGCTTTCCGCATCGAACCGCACCGCACATGTTCAGGTCGTTTTTGATCGCATCCCGGGAATTGGTACCTGTTGCGTGCTAGAGTTGCCAACAACGCGGTCGTAGAGGGTCTTATGTTGGTAGAGATGAATGGCGTGGATGCACCCTGCCTTCTTCGCGGAGTGATGCTCAACGGGGACAGTCATTTTTTGTCGTTGGTGCGTCATCTTGGGACCACGAACAAGAGGATGTAGGGGGGGGGGGGGGGCGCAGGTCACCTGCGTTGTTGACACCAAGCCAGTTGGATACCACTGCATGCACACCGCGGTGATGTGTGTCTCTCCGCTGGACTTGCCTTACCTCACCTTTTGTTGCCCTTGTTTCATTTTCGGTTTTGGTGGCGATCCTCAGGCCCAGGCGCACGGGGCGGCCGTGCTGGACCTGATAAACGACGACTACCCGCAAGCCCTCCACAACGAGCTGCACCACTTCTTCACTGAGATCGACGTGAGTTGTGGGAGAGCAAAACTACGTGTTTTTTTTTTGTGTGTTTTTTCCTGCGCAAGCAGCTGGGTCGTCAACATGCCTCCGCCTTTCCCGCGGAATACATGGAAAAGCTTAGCCCACTCTTTCGGGGTCCACAGGTCAAAGCAACATTGCTCGGTCTCGTCGAACTGCTCAATCTGTGATCTGACGACCGCTCCCGAGTGCAAAATGATCCCCCGCCCTCCCCGTGTGCCCAGTGCTGACTTGGCTTCACGCTACCCCGCGTGAAATTCGTTTCGTGCATACACTAACGCGCGCCGTGCTGCTGTTGTTGCCTCATCAGGACTCCGGTGTGCGAGCGTTCGTGAGCGGCCTGGCGGTGGCCTCCTCCCAGGTGATGATCGGGTCCTCTCTCAACGACCCCCGAACGAAGGATATCCCGGACGCCTACCGCTGCGAGAAGCCCTACTCGGGCTACATCACGCTCATCACCGAGTGGAGGGAAGAGATACTGCACAAGGAGCCGGAGACGGTTGTCCGTATGTTTCCCTTCGAGTACCCTCCCCCGTCCGAGACAGAGGAAGAGCTAGCGCCACAGCCAGAGCCAGAGCCCGTTCGGGAGCCGTGACCCTGTTTTACCGGCGCGGCCGGCTCTCTCGGCGGGCCTGGGCTTGGAACAGCAGCAGGGCCTCGGGACAGCCCGAGAACAACGACCTCACCGGCCCACGCCGTGTGTGGTGTTTCGTGTTCCGTAAGCTAGGTCAGCCCCGCCTGCATCTATAGCATATTCGAAAATGTTCCAAGGCCCGACGATGTATTGCCGGCGCAGCATTCAGGTTGAGGCATTTTTTGTATCATGTGCAATGCATACTGTTGTGTTCGCGGAGTGGCCGCGTCACATTTTCCCTGAGAAAGAGGTTATCTATCGATGCTGGCGGATGAAGAATGCGGGGTTTTGTGAGTTCGTGTGCATTGGGAGTGCCGGCAGGGTTCCTCGAGATAACTGGTGGCAAGGACGCTCGTTGTGCCTCACAAATCGAACGAGGGTACAGTCACAGCAGCGTGGCACATGAAGTCGCGAGCTCCAAATCATGGGCATGGGTACAGCGGTAACTCTCGTATTTTTCGTTTTCGACCTGTAAGTGTTTCGTTTTTTATTCTGTATCCTGGCGTGCTGTTTCGTGCCAACATTCTTCCGCTTCTTTGTGTTTTTCATGTGGTAGTTTGGTATTGTGCCATGTCTTCTGCGTTGGGTTGCGTGTATGTTGGATGCCCCTGCCTCCTCCTTCCCCGGTTTTTGTGGTGTTGAATTTGATCACCAGAGTGGCCACGCTCTTCACACGTGTTCCGTCGCATGGTCTTACGAAGGCGTCACTTTGAACACGGTGCGCATTGTTGGAGGTTCAGCGACTCGCAAAACCCGTGGCCTTGTCCTCTCTGAAGGCTGTATTCTCGATGCGTCTTGGCCTTCGTTTTTGATGAAGTCTGGATACTTGCTTGCACAATCGAGAGTTTTGTTTGCGTGTTTGCTTGTTCGTTAATGGTCTCTGCACCGTGTGCCTTGTTCTGCCTCATACTTCCTGTTATTTTCGGCCTGGTCCCTCTTTGTCCTCGCCCGTTTTCATTTTTCATTTTATTTTCATTTATTTTCTCTTCTCCTTACGGTTTCCATTTTTTTTTTTTTCCTTTTTTTCTCTTTTTTCTTTTTTCTCTCTCTTTTTTTCTATCTTTTTCTGTGCCAGATGGCCTTGTCTCTGCTTGCGTTGTGAAGTACCAAGATTGAACCAAGGGGGTGTACCTCTTTCTCTCCGGCCCATGATAGATAGTGACTGCTAGTCTCAGTTGATACCTCGCATAGCGCGAAGAGGGAGTGGAGGATCCCAGAATATCTGTCGTTGATTTGTATTGACTTGCGGACCCCTCGGGGCCAGCTTATTTGAGTGTACCTTTTTAGGGTAAGTTAACCTGTGACCACGGGAATCGACCGCGTCGAGTGTTGGATCAGTACGGACATACGAAGGTACTGGGTAGAGAGAGATCGGAACGGTTTTTAATGTGAAGACAACAACAACAACAACAACAACAATCTGTCCGGACCTCGCGGATAGATCGAGTTTTGTCACTTGATGAATGTTGGCGTTTTTCGTATTTCATGTTTGTTTGGTGCCAACCTGTTGGTCGTTCCGGTGGTTTCGTGCTACCCTGTGTCTGTTGCTTGGGTCGGGGAGATAATTCGATTCTGGGCAAGGTGGAAGAGTCGTGCTGTAGTCGGCACTTTCGTGCCAAGTAGTACTCTGCCGTGGGCGCTTGTGAGTAAACTTGAGGGAAGGAACTCCTGAAACCTTCTTGCCTTGATATCAGTTTCAAGCAAGCACCCGAGAAGAGTTCTATTGTGTAGCCCCGGATCGAAGCCCTTCATTTTGAAGCGGCCATCATCAATTAATTGAATAATGGTCGACGAGTGAGGTTCAGTGCAGCAGCCAACTGACACCTTCAAAGTTTAGTAGGCTTCCGAAGAAGAGGATGTCGAAGGAGGGTACATGCCCCGCTCTACGGCATGCTTGTCGAAAGGTTGTTGTTGTTACCGCCACGCTCCCGGTCCTCCCTCTTCGTCACAGTTGGTGGGTGCGTAGGTTTGCTCCGCCTTGCCTATTTGGATGACGGAGAGCAGCAGCGATTGTGCGCTTACTCGTGTATGCGTATTCTGGACTACCGCAGTTTAAGCCTGTCTACCACTCCTGTCTGTGTTGTTGACGGCTTTGTTCTTTCAGCGTGTGTTGCAATCGGACAAGCAAGTTGATACCTTGTGTTCCTCTACTACGTCCATGCCCTTGTGTTCCTGTACTACTGCAGAATACAGGGAGCAGAGGGAGTCTACAAGTATATGCAGAGTCCATGTGTTTCCGTCCTCCTGTGTGAACCCGGCAGTTCGTCAAAGATGCACACAACAAGCAGATAGGACGAAAACACGCACAAAAATCAACAGCGGCAGTTTTCTCGTCTCATCCAACGGGCACCAGTCTGCCTACACCCAGATACATTTGGAATTGTTTGGTTGACACTTACCAGGAGGAGTTCTCTTGTTGTTGCTGTCGTCGCCGTCTTCACGTTGTCACAAACCGATCCGGTCTCTACTCAGTAACTTTCCCGTCCGGTCCAACTGACGCAGACGCCTTTCGTAAGCGCAGGCCAAACACACGGTACCCAAAACGTGTAGTCTATGGTAGACTTCTACGTTCACCACAGCAAATCAAACAAAGTATAGTAGGCGGCTTCGCGCAGAATCAGGACAAAATAATCAACTCATCATGTAATGATGGACCGTGGACGTTTGGGTAATACGAGTACACTACTATGGTTTGTCCATACTGGTCGCGGCGCTAAGATGATGAGTACATTGTTGATTGAGGTTGGGAACCTTGTCAATCAATCAACGATCACCACTGTAGTAAGATCGACGAGCCTGGGTAAAAAACAGTAGCCTCGGCAAGGTTTTGCGTATTACAATACATTACCTGTGTGTACCAATATGTTGGATAAAGAATACAATCGGGGAAGTTGGGTTGGGGGTCTGCGACCCCATCCCTGCTTTATATTTCCACAAAAACTTACCAATCGCGCGAAGGCGGTCCGTAAAAAATCACGGTGAGACATTTTTTTGTTTATAATTTCATCAGTGCGACCCGACGAATCCATCTCTATCGAAAAAAAATTCAAAAGCGGTGAGACTAGACAAATTGGCCAGGCAACGAATAAGACTGATCCTTACATACAGCAGTACGGTAACCTGTCCTGGCGTATTAGGAAAAGTAAATGCAAACACAGAGGGTTTACCCGTTCGAGATTAACCACCGATGTACCTGGAACGAACCTGCACTGAACTACTATTTAAATACATGTACATGTTGTTGAGAGCTAGGTCTAATTGGTGACAGTTTCATGTATTTAGGATTCAGGCGAACCGGCACGACCACCGACGTTTGCTTCCAGCCAGCAGACAGACCAGCTCCCACAAAGCCGACCTACATGCGACGACTGCTGTAGGCTACCTACTGAAGGAACCTACGATCTGCAGCCGAGGCGCCGGTGCCGCGTTTCCCGTGCTACGCTACAATAGCACGGCTCCCTTTAGGAGGTTGATTAGTGGAAGGTGGAAAGTGTTCCACAAGGATACGTCCTTAGACGGAGTACAGAGGATGTCGGGCGCGGTATTTGCTGTGGTGTTGGCCTTGACGTGCGTGAGAATGGTCTTGGTGATCGATGCGGTGTCTTCTGTTTCCCGGGTGGCCCAAGCTGTGCGAGTGATGTCGTCACCAAGGTCACAGATGTCATCGAGGGGCATGATGAGCGCCTCGCCACGACAGCAAGCACCCGCTGCCGCCGGCTCTGCGAAAGTCAGGTTGGTACTGAAACATTCGTCTGGTGTTTCCTTCTCGTGTTCACCTGTTCTACAGTATGTGCAATCTCGCTACCATTGTGCCGCTAAGGCCTTGGTCCCTCTAAGAGACCGATACGGTCTCTATTATAGGTTTCACAGAACGGGAATACAAAATGTGAATTAATGAAGGGAATGAATGATCACTTTCTGTCAGAACGCCCGAGACGCGAGAAATCACCCCATCGGCTCTCCTGCACTACTTTAGAAGCCCTCCGCAAGTTTCAGCTTGACTGGTGCCTTCGACGTTGACGGTTGGCTGTGTCGGTGACCGACACTCACTCTCAAGCACGAAACACGAGCATGCAGCAGGTGCTGCCGACACCAAATTACTCCGACCTCGATTTGTGCCTAAACGTTGTCTCCACTAAATTGAAGCCCCCGTCCAATCTGCAGCTGGATTGACAAGTCCTTCGACGCTGGTAGCTGTGTGCCTACCAATTTTCTGCCAACGAGAGGTTCGGGACGCACCGCTGCAACCTCCCGACGAGGAAGTATGTCCTTCGCACAACGACGGTTTCAAATGATTTTTCGCCCGCGCGCAAGAGATTGCGGAACAAAGAGAATATGTAGTCTGCAAAACCAATCCATTGTAGTTTATCATGATCTCGTAGTTTATCCTGATCTCGACACGTCGTGTGCCCCGCGATAGACTATTCGCCGCGTTTCGAGGGAAACATTATTTGTCTTGTACATCCGCGCACGTTAGAGGGATAGAAGCAGCGATTTGTGCAGGCGTGCTTGTGTATCTCTCTTCCTTCCCGAACAGACGTGTACTTTGTTTGGATACGTGCGAAGACATTGACAGTGGGTACCCTCGCAGCCTACTAAGTAAGGGTCAGGTCATGGGTTCGAGGCCCGGCAAAGTGAGTTCTTTTTCTCACTAAATAAATCCTGGTCTAAGTTGTAAGCGACGCGCTGCAAAGCTCGTTGTTAGTAAACTACGTATGCGTAGATCGACTTCATAAGTCGAGAGCGAAGGGATTGTTGTACCCTTCCCGCGATAAAATATATCTCAGGCAGGAACCGCAGGAGGGGGTCCAACCCCCCCTCCTATGTGACCCCTGCCCCTCCTGTGTGACCCCGGTTGGGTCGTCTAGCTAGTTGTTGTTGTTGTTGTTGTTGTTGTTGTTGTCTTCACATTATAAACAGTTCCGATCTCTCTCTACCCAGTACCTTCATATGTCCGTACTGTTCCAACACTTGACGCGGTCGATTCCCGTGGTCACAGGCTAACTTACGTTAAAAAGGTACGCTCAAACAAACTGGCCCCGAGGGGTCCGCAAGCCAATAGAAATCAACGACAGATATTCTGGAGTCCTCCGCCTCGGCGCGCTATGCGAGGTAACAACTGAGACTAGGAGTCAGCATCACGGGCCAGAGAGAAAGAGGTACACCCCCTTGGTTCAGTTCAATCTTGGTGGATCACACGCAAGCAGAGACAAGGCCATCTGACACAGAAAAAGAGATGAAAAAGAGCGACAAAGAGGAAAAAGAGAAAAAGAGAGAAAAAAAAAGAGACAATAAAAGGAAACAGGAAGAAAAGAGAAAAGAAAACGAAAAAGAAAAAGAGCGAGGACAAAAAGGGACCAGGCCGAAAGTAACAGAGAAATAAGAGACAGAATAAGGCACACGGTGGAGAGACCACTAACGAGCGAACAAGCAAACACGCCAACATTGCCACCAACCAGCGGTACATGGTAATGGTACGTCATCACTAGTGGGGGGTTGGTGCAATGGTGCAGCGTTGGGGGGGGGGAATCGGCTAAAAGAAATTCAATCCGGCACGTATCATGCCACTCGGTCCGTCTCTTCTCGTTTACTTTCTTCCCTCGCCGTCTCGTCCGTCTCCTGCCCCCCTCCCGCCCCATTGTTTGTTGGCTTGTGGTCTCGTTTGAGCGCTCGCTGTCGGCTGGCCTCGTCTTCCTTCTCGTGCCAGGAGGTCATGAACCTCTCACCTCCCTGCAGCACCGCCGCATGCCAGGGTACTCCCCCCTCCACCTTCGCGGCTTCCGTCCACTTTAACTTCGGTGCCGTGTCTTTCGGTACCGGGATTCCGAGACAACATGGATCGGTTTTCGTAGATCCGTGGTCGGCCCCGAATGCCTTCAGGTCGTCGAGCACACACTTCGGCCAGTTCTGTTCCTGTCCCCCCCTACGTCGCTTCTCCCCCCCCGCCAGTTCACCGAGCATCACTCGTTTCGGGAGTCGCCCGTCCGGCTGCCTTGCCAAT